TTCGATTTCTGAAAAAATAACACCAATGGTCCCCTCTTGAAATTAGGATTCTGACTAGCTGAATCATAGTTCTAAATTTTACCAAATGGCACCGAACCCCACGCCAAAGGGGGGGGGGGGGGGGCGAGGGTCGACTTCGCACCTGCGGCCTGTCATTCCTTAAAACCGGACCTCCCCCCCCCTTCAAATAATCCTGGATCCGCTCCTGATGCATGATTATTATTCTAACAGTTTTCGTCCTTTAAATACACCTTTTCAGTTGAATCCGGATGTCGTTTTAAAATCACGAGTAAACTACCATAAATAAGTCTGAATGTATAAGTAGTAGCCTGCCAGGTCTAAAATAACCTGCAGTCTAAATCAAAGGTTACAAAATTTAATGGGATATTCTGTCCACTTCAGGCAGCACTGGGCTGGTTTATCAAGGAAAACATAACTAACATGTAAGTACCATTTCCATGGTAATGTAGTTATTTTTTTTTAATATATGTTATCATTTCTAATACATGCATTACGGTATATGAAGGTGCGATACTAAAATTAACGCGTTTTCAACACAATATGGAAGCCCTCATTCTTGTTTAACCGTGAACAACAGGACGTAACAACATTCACAATTTACATGTTTCTATACAGTATATCTTTCTATTTATTTTATTTTATTTTATTTTATTTTACAAAAAGGTTGGTTTATAAGGTTGGAACGCGAATGCTCTACTTGAGCATCCTTTCACATATTGGTTTTCCGATCTACCAAAAAGCAACGGCATATAACACCAATCAACTATCTCCACGTAACAGCCCATCTCTGCGCCCGGTCTACACAGGGGATTGTCCCTTCTTCAAGTCCACGCACATCGGTGTCCGTGGCCAATTCCCCGGCTACGTCCAGTTCAATTTAGTACACACCGATATCAACACTACCCGAACGTTTCGAGAGGCGGCACACGATGCCAGCGCAGCTATACAAGGCCGCGTCGTGGACCATTACGTCGCGAACGTCACTGCTTTCGCAAAAGGGTCTTGCTTGAGCGTGTGCGGCAGTGACTTTATGGGGTGTCAGGGGTGCTCCGAAAACAAGCTAGAATTACAGGTCACACCGCCTCTTCCTAATGGTTCAATGTATCTCGCTCTCGAAGGCCCTACGACTGCTCTCTTAATACCACAGCACTACTACGTAGTCGAGTTATATTGCGTCCTGAAGGGGAACAACATGAACTTCGTAAAAGATATGTACCAGTGGCCTGACGGATACAGTAATATTACCCTCGTGTCCACTTGTGATTTTAACCACGTGAGACCCGGTAAGGAGTACATCTTCCTCAGTTCGCACCTGGATCTCAGCAACTTTAAACTGGGATATGCGTTTGAAGCAACGGAGGAGCGCCAGCGCGTGCTACGCAAGCTCTGTGACTACCATAGGACACCCGTTGTGAACCATAGCTCAATGTCTAACTTCAGGAGGTGTGCCACGACCAAGAGACCCGGTGAACAGAGTATTTCATGTGATGATCTTGACAAGAAAAGCCAGGGATTGACCGCCCTTCCAACTCTGCTTAACATGACATTAGCGGTTATATCAGCTATAGTGGTAAAGCGTTACTTTTAAATAGATAGCAAAATTACGTTCTATAACTCCTGTCCATCGTCTTATTCTCAAAGGCGTCGAATTTATTTCAGAAACTGATGCTTATGAAAACTTCAATTCTAAAAAGTTATGTGTTCTCCCACAAATATTGACAGTTAAGATAAAGATTTGAAAGAGATATAAAGTGACGAGGCCTTCGATTAGAGGCAAACTAATATATATATTCAAGATGGCGAAACCGAGTACAGAATCACCGATTCAGTGGAGAAAAGACTTTAAAAAGTGTTGGATATTAAACTTTTTAGTTCTATACACTTAGGCCTACGTTTGGGTTACATCCTTTATTGAAATAAGATATAGTCTAAGAGCGTTTTAACTTTTTATTGCACTTTTTTAATTTTCAAAAATAAAGACGCTTACGGATTGGGATGAATACAAATTCTGATCACAACTTCGAATTTTCCAAAAGTGAGCAGAAGTTCGAAATAATTATTTTCCCTCTAAACATTAAAACCATACAATGCGCGTTAGACGTTAATATGGCAAAATACATTCGTCACTAAGTTTCAGGTATATCCCGGTCAAAACTATTGAAATAATATTTTTTCTATCTACACGCATACACCTGTATGCCAAGTCCGAATTTCTCGTTTTCACCAATCTCTCTTTCCATTAAGAAAGTGTCTCAAAAATAAAGACAAGTTAATGGATACTAGGTAATTCAGTGAACGGTTTTGGATAGAGTATACGTTGTTGATTAAGGAAAAACAGCGTAATATACAGAACAGGCTTATCTACAGGAACATTTAAAAAACTCTTTTCATTTTGATCCATACTCACTACTTCTTAATCAAAACTGTAGCATTTAAAATAAATTGGACGGCATTTTTCGAAATACGCATTTAGAAACACAACACCACAGAGAAGGCAAGACAGTTTCTGAATGAACAATTTTGGCTGTAGGCCAAGGTCTGTTGTTGGTTGTACAGCAGTATACATCCTGTATTATGTGTCATATGACGCCGAGAGAATATCACATGTAACAATTGGAGTGGACTCAGATTTTGATTTTTGTTGATGGAAGCGGTATGTAGTTTCCGCCTGACAGGACATCGTGTTACGTCGTCGTCTGCAGGAAAGGAGGCAATGTTCACGACAAGCCTGTAGAGAGCGCCACAGTTGCGTTCTAACTTTGGCAGTACAGAAACAGAACAAGATGCAGTTGGCGAGGCCTTGGGCACTGTCCCCGGCGCCCTANTGGGGGAGTGTCAGGGGGGCCCTGACCCCCCCCCCCCCCCCTTCGATTTCTGAAATAAAATAACACCAATGGTCCCCTCTTGAAATTAGGATTTTGACTACCTGAATCATAGTTCTAAACCTTACCAAATGGCACCGAACCCGACGCCAAAGGGGGGGTGGGGGTGGGGGTGGGGGAGAGGGTCGACTTCGCACCTGCGGCCTGTCATTCCTTAAAACCGGACCCCCCCCCCCCTTCAAATAATCCTGGATCCGCTCCTGATGCATGATTATTATTCTAACAGTTTTCGTCCTTTAAATACACACACTGGACAATAGAACTGTCATCCCCTGAATCAGAGTAATGAAAGTTATTAACCAGAAGATTCGGAATATAAGCAATGTCAGAATATCGATACAGTTGAATTGTTCAGTCAGAACCGTTTCTTTTGTGAAATTTGATGTTAATAAAATGATACCAGGAGGATATCATTCCACAGTCATTTATCTTTCCGAAAGTATTGGTTCAGTAGGGGTGACACTTCTATTGTCCATTGTGTGTACACCTTTTCAGTTGAATCCGGATGTCGTTTTAAAATTATGAGTAAACTGCCATAAATAAGTCTGAATGTCTAAGTAGTATCCTGCCAGGTATAAAATAACCTGCAGTCGAAATCAAAGGTTACAAAATTTAATGGCATAATCTCTGTCCACTTTAGGCAGCATTGGGCTGGTTTATCAAGGAAAACATAACTAACATGTAAGTACCATTGCCGTGGTAATGTAGTTGATTTTTCTTATATATCATCTTTTCTAATACTTGCATTACATGAAGGTGCGATACTAAAATGAACGCGTTTTTAACACAATATGGAAGCCCTCATTTTTGTTCAGCTGTGAACATCAAGACGTAATGTTCAACATTCACAGGTCCAAGATGGTCCTGTTGTTCATTCATTAATTTACATGTATCTATAGATCTTTCTATTTATTTTATTTTATTTTATTTTATTCTACAAAAAGATTGGTTTATAAGGTTGGCACGCGAATGCTCTACTTAAGCATCCTTTCACATATTGGTTTTCCGATCTACCAAAAAGCAACAGCATATAACACCAGTCAACTATCTCCACGTAACAGCCCATCTCTGCGCCCGGTCTACACAGGGGATTGTCCCTTCTTCAAGTCCACGCACATCGGTGTCCGTGGCCAATTCCCCGGCTACGTCCAGTTCAATTTAGTACACACCGATATCAACACTACCCGAACGTTTCGAGAGGCGGCACACGATGCCAGCGCAGCTATACAAGGCCGCGTCGTGGACCATTACGTCGCGAACGTCACTGCTTTCGCAAAAGGGTCTTGCTTGAGCGCGTGCGGCAGTGACTTTATGGGGTGTCAAGGGTGCTCCGAAAACAAGCTAGAATTACAGGTCACACCACCTCTTCCTAATGGTTCAATGTATCTCGCTCTTGAAGGCCCTACGACTGCTCTCTTAATACCACAGCACTACTACGTAGTCGAGTTATATTGCGTCCTGAAGGGGAACAGCATGAACTTCGTAAAAGATATGTACCAGTGGCCTGACGGATACAGTAATATTACCCTCGTGTCCACTTGTGATTTTAACCACGTGAGACCCGGTAAGGAGTACATCTTCCTCAGTTCGCACCTGGATCTCAGCAACTTTAAACTGGGATATGCGTTTGAAGCAACGGAGGAGCGCCAGCGCGTGCTACGCAAGCTGTGTGACTACCAAAAGACACCCGTTGTGAACCATAGCTCCACGTCTAACTTCAGGAGGTGTGCCACGACCAAAAGACCCGGTGAACGGAATTTTTCATGTGATGATCTTAACAAGAAAAGCCAGGGATTGACCGCCCTTCCAACTCTGCTTAACATGACATTAGCGGTTATATCAGCTATAGTGGTAAAGCGTTACTTTTAAATAGATAGCAAAATTACGTTCTACAACTCCTGTTCATCGTCTTATTCTCACAGGCGTCGAATTTATTTCAGAAACTGATGCTTATGAAAACTTGTATCAATTCTAAAAAGTTATGTGTTCTCCCACAAATATTGACAGTTAAGATAAAGATTTGAAAGAGATATAAAGTGACGAGGCCTTCGATTAGAGGCAAACTAATATATATATATTCAAGATGGCGAAACCGAGTACAGAATCACCGATTCAGTGGAGAAAAGACTTTAAAAAGTGTCGGATATTAAACTTTTTAGTTCTATACACTTAGGCCTACGTTTGGGTTACATCCTTTATTGAAATAAGATATAGTCTAAGAGCGTTTTAACTTTTTATTGCACTTTTTTAATTTTCGAAAATAAAGACGCTTACGGATTGGGATGAAATACAAATTCTGATCACAACTTCGAATTTTCCAAAAGTGAGCAGAAGTTCGAAATAATTATTTTCCCTCTAAACATTAAAACCATACAATGCGCGTTAGACGTTAATATGGCAAAATACATTCGTCACTAAGTTTCAGGTATATCCCGGTCAAAACTATTGAAATAATATTTTTTCTATCTACACGCATACACCTGTATGCCAAGTCCGAATTTCTCGTTTTCACCAATCTCTCTTTCCATTAAGAAAGTGTCTCAAAAATAAAGACAAGTTAATGGATACTAGGTAATTCAGTGAACGGTTTTGGATAGAGTATACGTTGTTGATTAAGGAAAAACAGCGTAATATACAGAACAGGCTTATCTACAGGAACATTTAAAAAACTCTTTCCATTTTGATCCATACTCACTACTTCTTAATCAAAACTGTAGCATTTAAAATAAATTGGACGGCATTTTTCGAAATACGCATTTAGAAACACAACACCACAGAGAAGGCAAGACAGTTTCTGAATGAACAATTTTGGCTGTAGGCCAAGGTCTGTTGTTGGTTGTACAGCAGTATACATCCTGTATTATGTGTCATATGACGCCGAGAGAATATCACATGTAACAATTGGAGTGGACTCAGATTTTGATTTTTGTTGATGGAAGCGGTATGTAGTTTCCGCCTGACAGGACATCGTGTTACGTCGTCGTCTGCAGGAAAGGAGGCAATGTTCACGACAAGCCTGTAGAGAGCGCCACAGTTGCGTTCTAACTTTGGCAGTACAGAAACAGAACAAGATGCAGTTGGCGAGGCCTTGGGCACTGTCCCCGGCGCCCTTCAAATAAACAAAATAATGAAACATTGGCTGCTTTTTAACTAAGCTGCATATCAATTTGTATGACGACCTGGATCGGACTGTTGTTTTAAGCCTTCCCTATAAAGAGTCAATTTCTTCTGGTATATTTCTGTTTATAAATGCTTTATCTTTACAACCATTCCTATTCTAATTAAATATAGCATTTCCAATTTTACTTACTACATAATCATCTTTATAATTTATATTGAAATATAAACTTTGTATCTCAAAGAATGATTTTTTCAAGTATGATTTTGACATTNACAAGAAAAGCCAGGGATTGACCGCCCTTCCAACTCTGCTTAACATGACATTAGCGGTTATATCAGCTATAGTGGTAAAGCGTTACTTTTAAATAGATAGCAAAATTACGTTCTACAACTCCTGTTCATCGTCTTATTCTCACAGGCGTCGAATTTATTTCAGAAACTGATGCTTATGAAAACTTGTATCAATTCTAAAAAGTTATGTGTTCTCCCACAAATATTGACAGTTAAGATAAAGATTTGAAAGAGATATAAAGTGACGAGGCCTTCGATTAGAGGCAAACTAATATATATATATTCAAGATGGCGAAACCGAGTACAGAATCACCGATTCAGTGGAGAAAAGACTTTAAAAAGTGTCGGATATTAAACTTTTTAGTTCTATACACTTAGGCCTACGTTTGGGTTACATCCTTTATTGAAATAAGATATAGTCTAAGAGCGTTTTAACTTTTTATTGCACTTTTTTAATTTTCGAAAATAAAGACGCTTACGGATTGGGATGAAATACAAATTCTGATCACAACTTCGAATTTTCCAAAAGTGAGCAGAAGTTCGAAATAATTATTTTCCCTCTAAACATTAAAACCATACAATGCGCGTTAGACGTTAATATGGCAAAATACATTCGTCACTAAGTTTCAGGTATATCCCGGTCAAAACTATTGAAATAATATTTTTTCTATCTACACGCATACACCTGTATGCCAAGTCCGAATTTCTCGTTTTCACCAATCTCTCTTTCCATTAAGAAAGTGTCTCAAAAATAAAGACAAGTTAATGGATACTAGGTAATTCAGTGAACGGTTTTGGATAGAGTATACGTTGTTGATTAAGGAAAAACAGCGTAATATACAGAACAGGCTTATCTACAGGAACATTTAAAAAACTCTTTTCATTTTGATCCATACTCACTACTTCTTAATCAAAACTGTAGCATTTAAAATAAATTGGACGGCATTTTTCGAAATACGCATTTAGAAACACAACACCACAGAGAAGGCAAGACAGTTTCTGAATGAACAATTTTGGCTGTAGGCCAAGGTCTGTTGTTGGTTGTACAGCAGTATACATCCTGTATTATGTGTCATATGACGCCGAGAGAATATCACATGTAACAATTGGAGTGGACTCAGATTTTGATTTTTGTTGATGGAAGCGGTATGTAGTTTCCGCCTGACAGGACATCGTGTTACGTCGTCGTCTGCAGGAAAGGAGGCAATGTTCACGACAAGCCTGTAGAGAGCGCCACAGTTGCGTTCTAACTTTGGCAGTACAGAAACAGAACAAGATGCAGTTGGCGAGGCCTTGGGCACTGTCCCCGGCGCCCTTCAAATAAACAAAATAATGAAACATTGGCTGCTTTTTAACTAAGCTGCATATCAATTTGTATGACGACCTGGATCGGACTGTTGTTTTAAGCCTTCCCTATAAAGAGTCAATTTCTTCTGGTATATTTCTGTTTATAAATGCTTTATCTTTACAACCATTCCTATTCTAATTAAATATAGCATTTCCAATTTTACTTACTACATAATCATCTTTATAATTTATATTGAAATATAAACTTTGTATCTCAAAGAATGATTTTTTCAAGTATGATTTTGACATTAATACTTGGTGAAAAAACTTCTTTCCTTCAATTCAAGAACAAAATCAACCCCTGATTCACCTTACTTATACAGGGCCCCCATACCAGCCTACCTGAAGAAGCATAATGATGATCATGATCGGATTATTTTCCACCTCCTGTTTGTCTGCCGCCAGGTCTGTGACCAGGAACCTTACCATCCCCCACACCCTTAGTAATATCAGCACGATGGGGACGAAGAGAAGTTTTTGGTTGGCACTGTGGATGGCCGTCATGGTCTCGTCTGACACGTAGACTTGACTCTCAGACCTCAGCTGAAACATTATGTACAAAACATTTCTTTAAGCGTGTTCTTTTTTGTGTGTGCTAAATACAGAGAATCCACGCCTTTACCCATCTTACGCCATTAGGTTAGGAAATGTGCTAAATATTAATTTTTTTTATACTGTAAAAAAGATTGGAGGCAACACGTAATGCTCTGCAAAATGAATTATATATGACAAAGGTTATGATGCAAAGATCAATAACAAACATTATTAAAAATACTTATGTAAAAAGAAAAAGAGAAGTTGCCTCATTTTCAACCTTCCCCCCAACTATAGCCCACCTCTTTGGCAATGTATGCCCTAGTGTTGCCGTACAGGATACCAATGATGACGAAGACCACGATCTCCCACCCCGGCCCGCTGACGAGCTGCCACACCAGCTGGCTGGGACCCTCTTTGATCCAACACAGGCTGGCCCTGGTCTGGTAGTGAGCCAGAGTCAAGTCATAGCCTAATACGTCGCTCGACAAGGCCGCCACACAGATTACAGCTTAGACGATAAAATTTTGAGATTTCTGTCACAAGGTCACCAGTTAGATCAATTGTAGATAAGACTGACAAAACCATTTAAAATACAATTTTTATGGCAGCAATTTAATCGAAAATGAAAAAAAAAGGTTTCAAATTCTATCATTAGTAGAAAATTTAAAATGTATGGCTTAACTGAGAGTATACTGACCTGGTACGGTCCAGCACACAAAATGGAATGGCCACATCAGCATCTCAGCTCGGAACACGTCGTTCTTAACAATACACATGTACAGGTAGATCGCGATAGCCGTGGTCCAGAGGCACGAGCTCATGGCCCCAAACATACCCATCAAAGCCGGAAACTCGCAGAACAGCACCATGAATGTTTCAGTTGGGGGTTCCTGATTCAAGGCGTTCTCGTGACCCAAGGTCAGCACCCAGACCACACCCATGAGGTAAGCCACTGCTGAGATGAGATCACTTACACTCAGGTATGTCAGCAAGCGCCGACTTGTTGTCCTGAGCTCTATGTAGGCGACATATACGGTGATAATGAGCGAAGAACCGAGGAGAGACGAAATTGAAAATGTCAGAATGATACCGAAGTAGGCATAATCCACTGCCCCATTTGCCGTGAAGCCCGTATGGTTCATCCTCCAAATTTGACGGGAGGGGGGTCCCTATCTTCTCTGGCAATGTTTATGATGGTATACGATGTACTATTACAGAATTTCTTTGTTCAACCTCAATACCGTGATGGAGTTTTATTTCCGTGTGATGTTTTACATAAAGTTATCTTTTGCTGCGCGTCTCGTGACGAGGTCCTCGTGAGTAGTGCAAGTGTGTTCGTCAACGGGAAAATTCACCTTTATCTGTCATTTCCAATGGGGCTCGGGCAGATAACGATACTGTTATCGTTACTTTCTATACATAAACAGGGCAAGATATATCTGGTGCCTATCTTGGGTGCCACTTCAGTCTAGGAGAATTAAATGAAAACATAGAGATAAACTCAAAATTCTACGTGTAAAAAAAAAAAAAAACAGTCAGATAGATAGGGTCTACCCAGACTGCCACTTTAATACCTTTTCTTCACTTGAAGTCAAGTCAAAATGGGCCATTTTAACTTCCATTATCTGACAGTGTAAGTAAACAACAAATATGTTACAAATAGATAACGTAATCTGAAAGATTAAAATGACATCATGCTTTTGTTATCAAAAAAAAAAAAAAAAAAAGCAGCCTAACTTTTTTTTAGATTAACAATTTGCCTGATTTTTGGTCGAATAAGGAGGCAAATTCTGGAGTACAAGTTGAAATTTTCTAGGCCTGTACCGGTATATCATGTAAAGCTATCTATATCTATCTTTCCAATCCAGACTTTAAACAAGATAAACCCCCTGTAGGACCACATTTTGCAACCGGTTGCAAAATGCGGTCGGTTGCAAAATGCGGCTCTACGCCCCTTTAATAAATGTACATTATGTCGAAATTTCCTTCTGGAATGTTCTGTAAGACACTGTGGTATAAATTACGGTCTAGTCATTGAAATTTAAATTTAGAACTAAATTATTTAATTCGAAAAGGTATAAACTTTCTTTTTATTCGAATATTCGGCTTAGCTGGAAAATCCTGGATATTATACTTAAAAAAATCTTTTTCATCTGTATCATCAGTTGTTTATTGTAACGAGGGTCTGCACAAGCTTGATTTGCATACAAATAATTGACTTTATCAGGCGGCAGGTCGACAGGTGATGTGCCGAAATGATTGGCCTGCTCTGTTGTCATACTGACCGATTGTGGGTGGACCGAGGCATAGGTGGCGCACTCTACCGAATCCAGACATTCTAGATATTTCCAGACACTCAAGGGTTCGTGAAACCCAGAACCCATTTTATTATCTTTAAAAGCATAAATTCTACACAGTATTGGTTTCAATTAATTTTAAAATATCAAAGAACTTTTCATAATTACTGAATTAACTTGGTTCATGAAGAAATCACATTACGAATAAAACAGCTACCAAAGTCCATCCGTTATCAAATTAATGTTTATTCACGGTTCCGTTACAAGCGGGAGATCACAGTACTTGATGACATGTAAAAAATCCAAACTAGTGCGAAAAACTTTGCTATATATTGTATTAATAGAATGACTGACTTTTCATGGATTCAGACATTATATCCCTTTGATCTATACACTCTCGGGTGTTACCTTCATTGGTCAATGAAGCTTAAAACCACATGAAACGAATTTAGTCTACCACCAAAATAACCGATTCATTAATTGGTGGTTTAATCCTTATCTAATTGACTGTATGGCCATTAGCTGATTGTATATACAACGATTTTATGAAATTCGTGTAAAATACTAAATTGATCAAGTTATGTACAGCGGTGCCCTGGATTTGTACAGAGTATATCTATATGTACAACTCTGCGAACAGTTTATACATCTGTTTATTTCCATACAGATTAATTTGGGTAAATACACTCAAGTACGCTTTCAGAATTGGAGTGATGCTTTCATATTATAAATTACTAATTATACTGACTTCAGTCTAGTTCCTAGTCACATATACACATAGCCACCATACAAAGTACAGTTACAGTTTTAAATACATTAAGTTCTGATCACCTCATGCCATTCATAAAGGCGTCTTTGAAAAAAACAGTTCTTCCAGGCGTGTGATTTTACGCCCTTTAATTTGCAAGACGACATGATTCTCTACTGGAAGTTTTCGAAAGTAGAGTTTTAGACATTTCTCATTTGTGTAGCAAGTTTACCATGAATCTGCAGTTGCGCGTTGGTAGACAGCACGTTTTGGTAGGTTACCTTGGTGATAGCCCATAAACCACGGGTCGTCACGCTCAGGGATATCCAAGTGCAGAGATGAAGAAGAAACGGCCATTTTCTGCTTGTTTAAAGGAGTCACAGGGGATGTGGTATGCCTCATGCGCAGCGTTTCTCGGGACTCGCTGCGGTTGGAGTCTTGTACAGTTAATTGTCTGTTGCAGATCTTTGCAACCAGACACGCACATATGCCGAAGATCAGTTCAAAGAACTCGCAAACAGTGCAGCAGGACACCCCGATGTAAAAGCCGGCAAGTCCTCCGATACTGCCGATCAAAGTTTCAGTCTAAAACATGAAAATGTACCCATATTTACCATACTTTGATGTTACATTAGACAATTTGTATGCAAATTAAAGCCATGCATTTCTATATGTTTCTTTCATGTCACCAGAGCAGAAAGTCACCAAGATTTATATATGCGCAATGAGTACCTGTTCATTCCCGGTGTCTTGACTAAGAGTCTCAATAAAATACTATATGCCGGATAGAATGCAATACCAGTTTTGAGTATGCTCACTTAGTTGTTTTAGCTTAACAGAAACTGCTTTTGATACTTACAGTTATGGCAGGAACCTCTTGCACGAGTTCATAATTAAGCTGCTGAAAGTAGATGTCCAACTTCAGAAGATTCTGACTGAAATGGAGGAATAAAAATGATACACTTTGGGACATGTTCCGTAACACAGAGAATTTTGTATCATATAATATAAAAAAGTTTAATGTATTACCCTCGTTGCACTGTAAAGGGGCATCAAATATGACAATATCAATTATCCGGAAATTTGAAAAACTATGTGTCCCTGAAGACAATGATGCTATTTATACACTGAATTTGGCAATCTTTTTTCAAAATTTGGTTTCAGATGCTAGGAAAACCGAAATATATGCTTTAATTGAAATGTTTAAGTATGGTTTTGGATAACAGTAGTTCCATCGATCTCTGTTCTGATCGCTTACTTCATCAACATCTATAGTGTAGGGTCTACGTTACTCCCTACCGAAGTTCGATCTGAAATACCACTTGTCAGTGAGGCACGAGAGAGGGAATTTAACAACAGGAGTCTGAACTTTTTGCAGACCTTTATTTTTCTCTCGTCTCTACATCACCTCAAATACTTACTAGGTTAAGCCCCATTGTTATTACTTTACAATTATGACTTCCCACCAGGTTATATGATAAGTATAAGGTACTAACAATGAACTTTAACACCAAAATTCAAACTTTTTTCTCCTTACGTCATGGCCGTCTTCTCCATGGTGCTATAGCGGCCATCTTTAGTACTCAGTTTGCTGACCATGTTTTGTGACTAGAATTCAATAAGTAGTTAGTTAGATAGATGAAATCTACTAGTCAAAATACTAACTGGAAGATGTGGTCACTAAAAAAACGTTTTGAGAAAAAACATGATCATGGCATTAAAACCCGGGATCCGCAGAAATATTCGTTCCCGTATTACCAGTGTTGTAAGACTAGTTGTGCTCCTCAAACAATTGCTATTTTCATTCCTAAATCTTAAGGGAAGATGGGCTCGGATTCAAGGACTACATCTATTATACATGAGTATAACGATCTAAGACAAACGGACCCCAGAACGTTTGGAAGATTGCTGTCCATGATTAAATCTTTTTAGCTGTTGGCCTGCTTAAATGTCACTTACGTAATATTGCTCTGAAGGCCACGTTGATGACGAAATCGTCATTTCATAGGAAGTATCACTGAAAAAGAAACAGGTAATTAATAATGTATAACACGTTGTCACTCACTTAAAGATATCGACGCCATGAGTGAGTTACGCAATATTTTTGGTTTACCTCACAGTAGTTAAAATATATTTGTACCATTTTACAAAAACAGCACTTAATTACTGGAGAGATTAACATAAATCAGACAGAGAGGAAGCTACGACTTGGAAGTTGGTCATACTTGCACGCCTGGGGACAGATACAGGTGTCCTCCGAATTCATGATATTTCTAACACACTCTTCTGGAAAACAAACACGTATACAGAGTAATTAATGTTCATGCATTCACACAAATACACACACACACACACACACACACACACACACATGCAATAAGATATCATTCTTAGCGTTAAATTTTATTATTAATTTCATACCATTCTATCATATACATGTATATTATATTATATTATAATTAAAAAAGGATTATAGACGCATTGGGTATTTTGTGGTCATTTGTCTTTCTGCTAGCTTTTTACTTATTTTTCATTATGCCCCTCCCTCTTTTTTTCTCTGATTTTACCTTTTGTTTTATTATTCGCCAGGTCGCATATGGAAATATTTTTTGCAGGAAAAGCCAGAAATGCTGCTGCACAGCTGCATATTTCCATGATACGATACTGCTGACAAGACTTCACACACGCCTGATAGGGATAAAGTATTGTCATTAATATTGCAATACATTTGGGATAAGAAGTTATTAACGTGATACAAAGCCGGTTAAGAAATATTAAACTACACCCACTGTCAACATTTTAGATGTAGAAAATAGAGAGTGCACATATGATTATAACGACATTGGCATAAGCAAACTTATTTTTGGGCGGGGAGGGGGGGGTACAGCTGTAACAGTCGCTCGTCACTCATTGAATGCGCAGAATGTTTTAATATACTTAGTTGAACCAAGGCCAAATGTCGACGCCTTTCAAGATATTATTGATGTTCACGAGCGGTTAATAGTGTTATCTGCTAATGGACAATTAGGTCCACGCTATCAATAATATATATCCGTGCAAGCAAAAGTTTAATGCACTTGTTGTGATCACAGATCTAGGCACGAATTCTGATTCTATTCCGTGAGAAACATACGATCAACTTGCACACATATATGTGATCTTCCTTTTTAAAGGATTAATGTACAACCCTCTAAATTGCTATGTTTTGTTTACCTGAACTGAATATTGATTTTCTTCGGTCACATTTCTGTAGAGCGTTGTCAAGCCATTGGTACAGTTACTGATATAGGGGTGGGTCAGTCGGGACGTCGACACCTGGAAACAGTGAGAAATGAAACAATATCAACGTACAATAGATTTTAAAATCGAAAGTCACAAATCAAAAAGTAGGCCTACTCAAACCCTTTAAGCACATGGATCTTGTTTTGAACTTTATGTGACACATGTGAATTTCCATGCTTAGCACACACACACACACACACAGAGAGAGAGAGAGAGAGAGAGAGAGGGAGAGAGAGAGAGAGAGAGGGAGAGAGAGAGACTTACCAATTTGAGTCCCACTGAAGTTGCAAAACCTGGTGATACTGTAAAACCCTCGTCTTCAGGAAACGCTATGTTGCCTTGACTGTGGACTAAAACGCGCACCCCTGCCTCATTGGAGAGACCCCCCAAGTACTGTTCCTGTTCCACGTCCAGCTGCAGGCTAAGCCCTGTAGAACATTTTATAGAACGTTTCTTTATGCTGAGTATGTTGTGACATCGATACAGACACACATCTTGAAAATTAAGATTGTGTTTATACCGATAAATTCTGTTTGTGGTGCATAATTTAGAAAGGATGATGGTTTTTGATGAATAATGTTTCTAATGATATTCCAGTATTCATATCTTATTTTATCTTGTGTATTGTTTTTAAAGCTTTTAAAGAAAAAAAACACTAAGTTGCACTGTCGATCTTATTAATCAGTTTGAACTGCATAGGTAAACTAGAAACTCTTTTTATAACAATTTTTCATTTAGCCGTTGTGAAAGAGAGATACACTGTAACTACTATTATGAAAACAGCGCTTTTATTGTTAATGCCCTAAAATTGGGAAACCAACTTTTATATTAGGACTAGCAGTTTTAAAGTCTCTCCAAAATCTCAGCTTTTCAAAAAAATTTTTATGATTAAAATGTTTTAAAACTTTTAAAGTAAGTATGTGTTTTAGTGCTGTAATTCTTAAGAATCTTAATTATTGTAAAGTGCATTGGGATGTATGAAAGTGGAATGCGCTATGCAAAAAAAAAAAAAAAAAAAAAGAAAAAAAAGAAAAGAAAAAAATATTATTTTTATTATTATCATTATTATTATCATAATAACTATTATATATTTTTTCATAATTATTATATACCATGCAATAAAGAGATGAAGTACCTTACCAAACAGTGGGCCCGGTCGATAGGACGTCAAATAGCTGCCGTCTACTTTGACCGAATTAAAGGTGTAGCAACTTCCGTACTTGTAATTAAAGGATTTGGTAAAATTCCTAAAAAAGAGAGAGAGAAATTTTCACAATTTCACTGCGGTTTTCGTTACCTGTTTCTGTTATTTCTGTAAAAATCAATTTCCGTCTTTGCATTAATTTTCTTTGACTCGACATAGCACATTTTACAATTCTTTATCTAATGACATGTCCTTAAAAAGGAGTTTCACCAGAAAAGTAATAGACTAATTTTTTTCATCATGGGTGATTTGCATTCTTACGTACATAAAATACATATAAAATAATTAATATTATTGCTATTCAAAGGAAAAGCGCGCCAATTTTCTGTAGGTATCGATTTCTTGAAATACTGCTATAAACATTTCCGTCCGAAAAACTTGGTAAACGTGTCAATGTTTGTACAAAAATGACGATATCCTCTTATAAGTCTAAGCTCTGGGATAAAAAGACAGGTCATTTGGTGCGCAAAGTAAACTGTTAATTGAGCAGCTTGTTTACATCTTTACCTCTCATAAAGGAGTATCTATATCTATATCTATATTAAATTGAAGCACAAGTTTCAGACAAGGTTATTGAACGTGTTCAAGTAATAACATTCCCAACACAAATATGAAAAACAGATGATTTAATCGAAAAACTATCATTTATAGAATAAAAAATATCTCGTAGGTCAAATTTCCATTCACTCGAAAAATTGATGGCTATACTTACGATGGTGAGCAGCTGCTCCCACCGTAGGTACACGAGACAAGCATGTGTTTTAAGTCATGTCCAAAATATGCCCTATCTTGGTCATCCATCTTGCTGTATAGCTGTTCGAACAACTCGCTGGTTTTCATATCGTTTGGTTTGTCCTTAAAATAATTGCCTGTCCCCTCCCTGGCATCCCAGTATTGGCTGAGACTATTGGAATTAGAACTTTCTGTCGTATACAGTGTATCTGTAGTTTGAGATGGACTCGTTGATATTGATGAAGAAGGAGAAGACAGTGTCGATGATGATGAGGGCGATGAAGCAGAACCATTAGAACGGGAACCCAAGTGCGACAGCAGGCTTCTCTTTCTCCGAAGAGGTGGCGGTGGAGACAACAGGTCTTCTTGGATCTCATCCATCTGTGAAAGAATTCCCTGAGCTTCTTGTACGAACTCTTCTGGTACAAGTTGTTCTGGCCATCTACTGTCGGTTAGTGATGTCACAATTGAACTAACGTTTCCACTTTCAAGTTTCTCTCTGATTTTATTCAGCCTAATTGGATTCAAGTTACATATTGTGACTGCTGGAAACGTAACCTTTTTCCCAAACTCTCGACGAATGTCCACATTGTGGGGGTATTTAAAGAAAGCATCCAGTAGAAGATAGGACTGAGTTGTAAACCCTGCCAGACTTCCCAGGAAGATCAGACTCCAGATGACTTTCCTAGGGACGCTTGTGGCACGGTGCGCATTGGGGAGGCCGTGCGCTGAAGTGTTCTCTAAAAACTCGCAACTGACTTCACGCACCTTTTTTGCAGTTTTCATCTTCATCAATTTTTTGTGTCGGTTGCCTACATGAACATGTACATGTGTGTCAAAAATGATATCTGCTCCAATAAATTTTTAGCTAAAATGGTTCCCAAAAATATTAGCTACAAATCCCTGTTTTATATTTTTCTTCTAACTTATGAAAATAATCCTGTATATTTTCGGCTTGACACTGAGATTTCCAATAACTTGTGTTCAAGGTTTTCCTTCCACTGGCCTTTTATAGGGGTCATGCAAAACCATACCTGCTAGTGACGTCATGAGTTACAACATGTTGTTTTGATTGCGCGCTGTTTATGGTAGCAGCGCGCAGAAATCGATCAAACTTACTCTGTCGCGAGTGGCTGACCGTAGTTTCATATTCTGATACACAGAACCATTTACATCGACACTGAGCAATGTACATGTATGTGAAATGGATATTATGCATTATAGAGCAGACTGGAATAAAACAATCTATTGCTGCTTATGATTTTTTTTTGTTTTATCTCTACGTGTGTTTATCCCCCAAAACTCCTAGTGCAAATAGTTACGCTATTGTTTGTGCCATGTTTTGATTCTTTACACTACATAATGCGGCTCCCCATTACCACCTAAAATTATGTTTTTAAGTTCCAGATGACTTGGTCAATTACCAATTGCAGCGATATGTCAAGTGGTTCTTTTAGTGAAAAGATGTTCCTAAGTTTTTTAAAGAACCTGGACGATTTTCAGTAAATTTTTTCTGGTATAGAGTGATGTGGTTAGGCTTTGTATCACTTATATTTTGAATTCTATCGATCTTAAATCAATTCGAAAAGTATTCCTATAAAAATTAACCTATAAGAATTAGAAAATACATCATTTGGACATTGTCACCATCTCCATTTGAATTCATGCAGTTGACAAATGAAGCGTATTTTGATTTTATTTCCAAGATGAATCTCTGTAGCTCTGACGTCATCACCAGGCAACATCCTAACATATTTGTCTCGTGCCTATGACACACCTATACATCTATCACGTTATAATCTGACCAATAGTCAATATGGAAAGATTATTATCCTTAAGCTCCTCCTCACACCTTGGAAATGTTCATGTTTTTTTCAAATATTCCTCTGAATGCCTTCGCTTTCTCTTTCAAAAAATCGATTGGTATGTCTATATTGCTGCACTTTTCAAATAGATATCGAATTGTGCCAGTCGTTTTCCGGCTAAAGTAATTTCTGCCAATAGTTGTTTGTGCATGCAAGATTCCATCTGAAAGTCATGCTTTTGAATCAGGAGCACTTTAATTATATGGAAAATATCGAAACCATGCTCTGAAAGACATTACGTATTTTAAAAACAACTCTCGGTTGCACCTTCACTCTGGGTTATTTGGTGGACGTATTGAAAGACAGAACCATCTGGATCATTTACTTTGCATTAAGTCTGGCGGGGGATAAATGTAAACGCTTATTAAAAGCGGATACATTAGATGTATTTGCTTTTAGTCATTTCTTTCAATGATTTTCTGTCATGCCTGCATGGTAGTAAAAAGCGTTTGTAGCAGGTTAATCATATCAGACAGATCATATCCAGATATCTATTTGAACTCCCTGGCATATTGGACGGAAGTGCTGAATCACTTTCAGCAACTCATTGAATATCAATATTTGACGACAGACGAAAACTATGCTAGGACACGTGTAATAAACACTTATAAATATATATATATATATACATATATATATATATATATATATGAGTGACGTGGAAAATAAGGACACGGGCACTAGGAACATGTTTGAGGGGAAACATCTTTGAGGAAAGTGACCAGCGGTACTGAGACAGAATAGACCCTCGTCTTCAGTACGGTGTAAATCACTCAAAAATTGTTGACAGTTGTGTTTTATATCATTTTATCCCCAGGAAAAAAATTCCAGAAAATAAAAGATGTCAATTTTGACAGCGTCATGGTTTTTATCTTCACAACACGAAATCCAAAACTACTTTACACAGGGTTTTCCCATTTTCTGCGAAAATAAGAGAGAAACATCATTGATCCGATTTATTTCGATGCTTTCTATCATTTTTAATAAAATGCCTTTACTGTAGATGAATCGTGACCGCCTTCGAAGAAAATATCTATCTATCTTATTTAATTGAAGGGGTTTGTCATTTTAAAGATCTAAATTGGGGAGGATAAGTAGCTTTTCAAATTATTTTAACTTGAAAAACATGACGTTGGGACATATTAATATACCTTTGATACACATACTTTGACAAGAGAATGACTTGTCTGAACGTTATCCTTTGGACTGAATTTAGTGTTTAAATACATCCGCTCAAATGACTAGAGATATTAAGGGACCAATTTGGCTCATGGCACTGGGGGTTGGGCAGATTTTGAATCTCTTGAGTAAAATAATAATAATAATAATAATAATACAGGAAACTGAGTGATTATCCGAGCAGTAACTATATCACGACTTCCCCTTGGCGTAGCTCATTACGTCTACGTGTATTAACAGTATGGTCGCCCTTCATTCTCTTTAGGGAAATCATTAACATTTAAACTGTAACTTCGATCAATTGTAGCATCACCTACACATCTTGCAACTCCCTATAGAGCGTGTCATCTTACTTATTCAGTATTCATGTATCTATCTGCATTTGAAGGACTCTATTAGTAATCGTTAAAGACCGGTTGATCTGGCTCCGCTACGCCCACTGGGGAAGCTGTAGTTGCTGGAATATACTGATGGATGGTCTAAATTCTGTCTGCAAACTAATTCCACCGAGACCGTATGGACGTATGCACTGTGAAACAGTTTATTTCCGTCATATTACACAGTTGACGTCAAGTGTCAACGAGCATCTGGCGCGCTGCCAATTTCAGCTTTATTGCTCCCAAGGGTTCTTCAGTTAGAGTGGCAGGATCGGTCTTTTGGTTCCAACCAAGCATCAGGGTCTCAGTAAAATGTCACCTCGACCCACCATGCTTGGACGCAATTTCTGTTGTCATATGAAGTTAACCTGTTCTATAGTCAGGTTCTACCTATCATTGTCCATATAAATCAGTTTATTATTAATTTACCCATTATGCAACGCAACTGCACAATGGAGTCCTCGTGCATGAATTCGATCAATTTAAGGCATGGCAATATTAGATAACAGGGACGCTATCATTAGTGAGATGACGCTGAAAGTCTAACGTTCCTTTCTGCTTTTGAATATTGTTTTTAAATATATGTGACCGTACTTTCATTTCGCGTTCATGTTACATTGTTTTAACCATGAAGGTAAAGTTGTTTTTATAGGCATTGCGTGAAGAGTAACAAAAAAGTGATGAAAAATTGATTATATATTTCGGGGGGAATTAATTCCCTCCTTGCCGCATATAAAATAGTCTAGATGTAAAAAATATCAAACTTCGATGCAGCCCACCTTTTCTTTTTTCAATTGCTTATGTCTCTTTCATTCGTTAAATACTATATTTTGATCTGCTTGGACGTTTATTTCCTGCTTTTATTCATAAATACACTCCCTAATTTGAACTTCATCCGTAACCGTCTTCAGGCGTACAAGACAACATTATATAATTAAATAGTGCTCATGCCCCGCTCACAAAAACACCATGTTGCTACCCGTGATGTTTCAATGGGACCATTCAGATTGAGAACAGCCGAGTGCTAGTAAGACCGCGATCTAAATATGGCGGACCTACATGAAAGGATGACCGCTTAATCCTGTAAAGGTCTCTCTACCTCTCACACGCCCCCAAACTCGTCGTCCCTGTAGGGGCACAGTAATAAAATCTCGGCTCAATTCAAGTGATCGAGGGACAACGCGTCCTTCATTCTTTAAAGTCAGCCCTTATAAAATTTCGGACCATTTGCCAAATGATATACAGGGTAACACCCCCCCCCCCCCAAAAAGAAAATAAAATAATAATAATAATAATAATAATAATAATAATAATNGCTCTAGGCACGAATTCTGATTCTATTCCGTGAGAAACATACGATCAACTTGCACACATATATGTGATCTTCCTTTTTTAAAGGATTAATGTACAACCCTCTAAATTGCCATGTTTTGTTTACCTGAACTGAATATTGATTTTCTTCGGTCACATTTCTGTAGAGCGTTGTCAAGCCATTGGTACAGTTACTGACATAGGGGTAGGTCAGTCGGGACGTCGACACCTGGGAATCAGTGAGAAATGAAACCATATCAACGTGCAATAGCTTTTAAAATCGAAAGTCACAAATAAAAAAGTAGGCCTACTCAAATCCTTTAAGTACATGGATCTTGTTTTGAAATTAATGTGACATGTGAATTTCCATGCTTAGCACGGAGAGAGAGAGAGAGAGGGAGAGAGAGAGAGCGAGAGAGAGAGAGACTAAAACCTCACAACTTACCAGTTTGAGTCCTACTGAAGTTGCAAAACCTGGTGATACGGTGAAGCCCTCGTCTTCTGGAAACGCTATGTTACCTTGACTGTGGACTAAAACGCGCATCCCTGCCTCTTTGGAGAGACCCCCCAAGTACTGTTCCTGCTCCACGTCCAGCTGCAGGCTAAGCCCTGTAGAACATTTTATAGAACGTTTCCTATGCTGAGTATGTTGTGACATCGATACAGACACACATCTTGAAAATTAAGATTGTGTTTATGCTGATAAATTCTGTTTGTGGTGCATAATTTAGAAAGGATGATGGTTTTTGATGAATAATGTTTCTAATGATATTCCAGTATTCATATTTTATTTTATCTTGTGTATTGTTTTTAAAGCTTTTAAAGAAAAAAAAACTATCTTGCACTGTCGATCTTATTAATCAGTTTGAACTGCATAGGTAAACTAGAAACTCTTTTTATAACAATTTATCATTTAGCCGCTGTGAAAGAGAGAGACACTGTAACTACAATTATGAAAACAGCGCTTTTATTGTTAATGACCTAAAATTGCGAAACAAACTTTTATATTAGGACTAGCAGTTTTAAAGTCTCTCCAAAATCTCAGCTTTTTCAAAAAAAATTTATGATTAAAATGTTTTAAAGCTTTTAAAGTAAGTCTGTGTTTTAGTGCTGTAATTCTTAAGAATCTTAATAATTGTAAAGTGCATTGGGATGTATGAAAGTGGAACGGGCTATGCAAAAAAAAGAAAAAAGAAAAAAGAAAAAATATTATTTTTATTATTATAATTATTATTATTATCATAATAACTATTATATTTTTTTCATAATTATTATATACCATGCAATAAAGAGCTGGAGTGCCTTACCAAACAGTGGGCCCGGTCGATAGGACGTCAAATAGCTGCCGTCTACTTTGACCGAATTAAAGGTGTAGCAACTTCCGTACTTGTAATGAAAGGATTTGGTAAAATTCCTAAAAAAAGAGAAAATTTTACAATTTCACTGCGGTTTTCGTTACCTGCTTCTGTTATTTCTGTAAAATCAATTTCCATCTTTGTATTTATTTTCTTTGACTCGACATAGCACATTTTATATTTCTTTATCTAATGACATGTCCTTAAAAAGGAGTTTCACCAGAAAAGTAATAGACTAATTTTTTTCATCATGGGTGATTTGCATTCTTACGTACATAAAATACATGCAAAATGATTAATCTTATTTCGACTTAATTGCTATTTAAAGGAAAAGCGCGCCAATTTTCTGTTGGTATCGATTTCTTGAAATACTGCTATAAACATTTCCGTCCGAAAGACTTGGTAAACGTGTCAATGTTTGTACAAAAATGACGAAATCCTCTGGGAGTTCTGGGATAAAACGACAGGTCATTTGGTGTGCAAAGTCTTTTAATTGAGCAGCTTGTTTACACCTTTACCTCTCATAAAGGAGTATCTATATCTACATGAAATTGAAGCACACGTTTCAGACAAGGTTATTGAACGTGATTCAAGTGATAACATTCCCAACACAAATATGAAAAACAGATGATTTAATCGAAAAACTATCATTTATAGAATAAAAAATATCTCGTAGGTCAAATTTCCATTCACTCGAAAAATTGATGGCTGTACTTACGATGGCGAGCAGCTGCTCCCGCCGTAGGTACACGAGACAAGCATATTTTTTAAGTCATGTCCAAAATATGCTCTATCTTGATCATCCATTTTGGTGTATAACTGTTCGAACAACTCGCTGGTTTTCATATCGTTTGGTTTGTCCTTAAAATAATTGCCCGTCCCCTCCCTGGCATCCCAGTATTGGCTGAGACTATTGGAATTAGAACTTTCTGTTGTATACAGTGTATCTGTAGTTTGAGATGGACTCGTTGATATCGATGAAGAAGGAGAAGATAGTGTCGATGATGAGGAGGGCGATGAAATTGACCCATTAATACGTGAACCCATGTGCGACAGCAGGCTCCTCTTTCTCCGAAGAGGTGGCGGTGGAGACAACAGGTCTTCTTGGATCTCATCCATCTGCGAAAGAATTCCCTGAGCTTCTTGTACGAACTCTTCTGGTACAAGTTGTTCTGGCCATCTACTGTCGGTTAGTGATGTCACAATTGAACTAACGTTTCCACTTTCAAGTTTCTCTCTGATTTTATTCAGCCTAATTGGATTCAAGTTACATATTGTGACTGCTGGAAACGTAACCTTTTTCCCAAACTCTCGACGAATGTCCACATTGTGGGGGTATTTAAAGAAAGCATCCAGTAGAAGATAGGACTGAGTTGTAAACCCTGCCAGACTTCCCAGGAAGATCAGACTCCAGATGACTTTCCTAGGGACGCTTGTGGCACGGTGCGCATTGGGGAGGCCGTGCGCTGAAGTGTTCTCTAAAAACTCGCAACTGACTTCACGCACCTTTTTTGCAGTTTTCATCTTCATCAATTTTTTTGTGTCGGTTGCCTACATGAACATGTACATGTGTGTCAAATATGATATCTGCTCCAATAAATTTTTAGCTAAAATGGATCCCAAAAATATTAGCTACAAATCCCTGTTTTATATTTTTCTTCTAACTTATGAAAATAATCCTGTATATTTTCGGCTTGACACTGAGATTTCCAATAACTTGTGTTCAAAGTTTTCCTTCCACTGGCCTTTTATAGGGGTCATGCAAAACCATACCTGCTAGTGACGTCATGAGTTACAACACGTTGTTTTGATTGCGCACTGTTTATGGTAGCAGCGCGCAGAAATCGATCAAACTTACTCTGTCGCGAGTGGCTGACCGTAGTTTCATATTCTGATACACAGAACCATTTACATCGACACTGAGCAATGTACATGTATGTGAAATGGATATTATGCATTACAGAGCAGACTGGAATAAAACAATCTATTGCTGCTTATGATTTTTTTTGTTTTATCTCTACGTGTGTTTATCCCCCAAAACTCCTAGTGCAAATAGTTTCTCTGTTGTTTGTGCCATGTTTTGTTTCTTTACACTACATAATGCGGCTCTCCATTACCATGTTTTTAAGTTCCAGACGACTTGGTCAATTACCAATTGCAGCGATATGTCAAGTGGTACTTTTAGTGAAAAGATGTTCCTAAGCTTTTTAAAGAACCTGGACAATTTTCAGTAAATTTTTTCTGGTATAGAGTGATGTGGTTAGGCTTTGTATCACTTATATTTTGAATTCTATCGATCTTAAATCAATTCGAAAAGTATTCCTATAAAAATTAACCTATAAGAATTAGAAAAAACATCATTTGGACATTGTCACCATCTCCATTTGAATTCATGCAGTTGACAAATGAAGCGTATTTTGATTTTATTTCCAAGATGAATCTCTGTAGCTCTGACGTCATCACCAGGCAACATCCTAACATATTTGTCTCGTGCCGATGACCCACCTATACATCTATCACGTTATTATCTGACCAATAGTCAATATGGAAAGATTATTATCCTTAATCTCCTCCTCACACCTTGGGAATGTTCATGTTTTTTCCAAATATTCCTCTGAATGTCTTCGTTTTCTCTTTCAAAAAATCGATTGGTATATCTATATTGCTGCACTTTTCAAATAGATATCGAATTGTGCCAGTCGTTTTCCGGCTAAAGTAATTTCTGCCAATAGTTTTTTGTGCATGCAAGATTCCATCTGAACGTCATGCTTTTGAATCAGGAGCACTTTAATTATATGGAAAATATCGAAACTATGCTCTGAAAGACATTGCGTATTCTAAAAACAACTCTAGGGTTAGATCCCGTGGCTCACCTTGACTGTGGGTTAGTTGGTGGACGTATTGAAAGACAGAACCATCTGGATCATTTAGTTTGCATTAAGTCTGGCGGGGGATAAATGTAAACGCTTATTAAAAGCGGATACATTAGATGTATTTGCTTTTAGTCATTTCTTTCAATGATTTGCACGTTTGTAGCAGGTTAATCATATCAGACAGATCATTTCCAGATATCTAATTGAACTCCCTGGCATATTGGACGGAAGTGCTGAATCACTTTCAGCAACTCATTGAATATCAATATTTGACGACAGACGAAAACTATGCTTAGGCTTCGTTCACATGCAATGTCTATTTTCTAAATTCTATTTTCTATTCGCGCTATCTTATGATCACGGTCTGTGCACTGAATATCCCGCCGCGTAATTACTGGCAGCGCGAGCCAGTTACTTATAGTGTCATCGATCGTGGAAAATAAGGACATGCACGGGCACTAGAAACATGTTTGAGGGGAAACATCTTTGAGGAAAGTGACCAGCGGTACTGAGACAGAATAGACCCTCGTCTTCAGTACGGTGTAAATCACTCAAAAATTGTTGACAGTTGTGTTTTATATCATTTAATCCCCAGGAAAAAAATTCCAGAAAATAAAAGATGACAATTTTGAGAGCGTCAGGGCTTTTATCTTCACAACACGAAATCCAAAACTACTTTACACAGGGTTTTCCTATTCTCTGCGAAAATAAGAGAAAAACAAAGTTTGATCCGATTTATTTCGATGCTTTCTACATATGTATCATTTTTAATAAAATGCCTTTACTGTAGATGAATCGTGACCGCCTTCGAAGAAAATATCTATCTTTCTTATTTAATTGAAGGGGTTTGTCATTTTAAAGATCTGAATTGGGGAGGATAAGTAGCTTTTCAAATTATTTTAACTTGAAAAACATGACGTTGGGACATATTAATATACCTTTGATACACATACTTTGACAAGAGAATGACTTGTCTGAACGTTATCCTTTGGACTGAATTTAGTGTTTAAATACACCCCGCTCAAATGACTAGAGATATTAAGGGACCAATTTGGCTCATGGCACAGGGGGTGGGCAGATAATGAGTATCTTGAGAAATAATAATAATAATAATAATAATAATAATAATTCTCAAATAATAATAATACAGGAAACTGAGTGATTATCAGAGCAGTGACTATATCACGACTTCCCCTTGGCGTAGCTCATTACGTCTACGTGTATTAACAGTATGGTCTCCCTTCATTCTCTTTAGGGAAATCATCAACATTTAAACTGTAACTTCGATCAATTGTAGCATCACCTACACATCTTGCAACTCCCTATGGAGCGTGTCATCTTACTTATTCAGTATTCATGTATCTATCTGCATTTGAAGGACTCTATTAGTAATCGTTAAAGACCGGTTGATCTGGCTCCGCTACGCCCACTGGGGAAGCTGTAGTTGCCGGAATATACTGATGGATGGTCTAAATTCTGTCTGCAAACTAATTCCACCAAGACCGTATGGACGTATGCACTGTGAAACAGTTTATTTCCGTCATATTACACAGTTGACGTCAAGTGTCAACGAGCATCTGGCGCGCTGCCAATTTCAGCTTTATTGCTCCCGAGGGTTCTTCAGTTAGAGTGGCAGGATCGGTCCTTTGGTTCCAACCAAGCATCAGGGTCTCAGTAAAATGTCACGTCGACCCTCCATGCTTGGACGCAATTTCTGTTGTCATATGAAGTTAACCTGTTCTATAGTCAGGTTCTACCTATCATTGTCCATATAAATCAGTTTATTATTAATTTACCCATTATGCAACGCAACTGCACAATGGAGTCCTCGTGCGTGAATTCGATCAATTTAAGGCATGGCAATATTAGATAACAGGGATCATTAGTGAGATGACGCTGAAAGTCTAACGTTCCTTTCTGCTTTTGAATATTATTTTTAAATATATGTGACCGTACTTTCATTTCGCGTTCATGTTACATTGTTTTAACCATGAAGGTAAAGTTATTTTTATAGGCATTGCGTGAAAAGTAACAAAAAAGTGATAAAAAATTGATTATGTATTTCGGGGGGAATTAATTCCCTCCTTGCCGCATATAAAATAGTCTAGATGTAAAAAATATCAAACTTCGATGCAGCCCACCTTTTCTTTTTTCAATTGCTTATGTCTCTTTCATTCGTTAAATACTATATTTTGATCTGCTTGGACGTTTATTTCCTGCTTTTATTCATAAATACACTCCCTAATTTGAACTTCATCCGTAACCGTCTTCAGGCGTACAAGACAACATTATCTAATTAAATAGTGCTCATGCCCCGCTCACAAAAACACCATGTTGCTACCCGTGATGTTTCAATGGGACCATTCAGATTGAGAACAGCCGAGTGCTATTAAGGCCTCGATCTAAATATGGCGGACCTACATGAAAGGAAGACCGCTTAATCCTGTAAAGGTCTCTCTACCTCTCACACGCCCCCAAACTCGTCGTCCCTGTAGGGGCACAGTAATAAAATCTCGGCTCAATTCAAGTGATCGAGGGACAACGCGTCCTTCATTCTTTAAAGTCAGCCCTTATAAAATTTCGGACTATTTGCCAAATGATATACAGGGTAACACCCCCCCCCCCAAAAAAAAAAAAAAAAATAAATAAATAAATAAATAAATAAATAAAAAATAAANCTTCATTTGATGGTTGTTTTGGTAAAGTTTATCCTTGAAATCTCTTGAAATTTGGTGGACCTTTGTAGAATTTAATAAAATTTTATGGGTTCTTTTTTTTTGGTCACCCTGTTTTAGAAATACACTGATAAGTATAAATACATCTGTGCAAGGTGCTGCAAATTGTGAATGAAACGTAACATGGCAAATGCACGTTCAGCGTTGCCAACCCAACCCCTGGCACCATAGAAAAGAACCTATTCATTTTAACAATAAACAAACAGCGAACTTGGCTAAAACTTCAAGTTGACTGAAAAAAGTCTCTCCGTTTATGCGCGTGACATTTTATCACCTTTAACCTAACTCAGGCAGGTGTGACCAAACCTGTTCAACGACCTCTACACCGGCACAAACAGACCAGTCCTGGCATTTTTGGTGATTATAACTCGAAGGTAAATGTTCACTCAAACTTTAATTCATTGCCCTTGCCCCAAAAGATACATGCAGAGACAACTGAAAAAATACAATTTTACCCACCCACAATCTAAAATGAACGTTTGTGACGTGTCCTAGGACATTTGCAAAACGGACCATTTTCCCAACATTTTACCAACATCTTCTCATCGACAACGGTTCTTGGTACTGGAACGGGTTCTTGTCTTACATGTACGCAGTAAGATATATCTCAGTGTCGTGCGTATATCTTAAACAAACCAATTCAAAATCAAATCAATTGCAAAACAGCTGAAATCCCTTCACTTTCCTGTAATTGCATTAAAATTCTGACATGTGAAAATCAAAAGCAATTTTAACTAAACGTTGTGTTTAAAAAAGTTGACACCATCAGCCGAACTATAACATTACCAAGACATGAACACTGGCTGAAATGACAATACACACTGACATATATCTCACTGAACTTTTTTATTTTCGTCTGATAATTTGACTTTTCACAATTTAGTAAATGCCCGATGAAATATATAGTTTCGTTTAAATTTTTTCTTCTAGAAGCTCATTTACGGAGACTACTCGATGTTGACCATCAGTATGTGATTACGGGTCGTCCTGCATGTCCAGTTCTTCTTCAAGATCAAGAAGCCTCAAAATGTCTTTTGCCTCGCGCCTAATAAGCTGAAAAAAGAAACCAAATATTCATGAGTCATTACCATGTCCCATACCTTCCATACTTGTTGGTGTGCACATGTATCAGTATAAACATACCACGGGGCTGATATCAAAACAAAAGCATTGCAGGGACCGATACAATAAATGAGACGGAGTGACTGCTACGTTCGAAAGATGGGCAGGAAATCAGCCAACTACTCACAGAAAACCACTGACCCATGTCATTGTCAATACATACGCAACCACAAACCATTCACTCAAATGAATGGACGGTGACCGCAATTAGGCAGTAAACGCGGGGAAAGTCCATTCTTTGATATCAGGCGGTGATATCAGCGTATATGCGCGGTGATATCAGCGTATTCTATTCAAAGTTAGGGGGTCTGGGTGGGGAACATGCACGATTTCCCTTTGTATGTATGACGAATAATGCACTGTTACCCCCTCGCCCGATATACACGATAGCATGCCTCGCTAGCGCTCGGCATGCTATCGTGTATATCGGGCTCGTGGACAGTGCATTATTGACTACTTAATTCGCTCTGTCGTTGAATATGCTTGTCCTTGTGTCAGAATCTATTCAGTCGAGGGCACTCGGAATCATGTTTCCTGATTTATCTGAAGTTGATGCCCTGGCAGTACCAAAGTTTGTCACTTTTAGTTTAAAAAAGCGGCGCAAATCTTTCTTCGAGAAAATAAAGAACAGCAAGGATATGCTTAATTACCTCTTAACCTCCGGAAAATATATTCGAAGGCTACAGTGTAACAAACCAATCCAACTTCAATGAAAGATAATTCAAGATTGAACGTTTTCGAAACACCTTTTCCCCTTTTTAATCCAACTTTTAGGGGTCTTTGTTTTATCTCGAACTCAGTATGGACTTATTGTAATTCTTTTATTTATGTAAATATTAATACTTTTTATTCGAACTGATTTTTTTTCTGTATACAGTTTCAACCTTTTGGTTGCAATGTTTCAAAAAACCTTATTTCTATATTATCATTGTGCTGCAAACATGAGTGAAAGTCGTGGTACATACCTCTTTTCTCCTGTCAAACTCTTTGCCTTTCACTATTTTACCCTTTGGTGGGTGTCGGCCGGCCGCTTGAAATATAACCATAAGAACTACGTAAGGCAGGAAAAGATAACAATACTGGTAACTCACCAAAGTGGTGGTGACATTACAAAACAAGGCGGATCATTATCATTTCAAACTTCATCAGTTGTTCAGTTCAGATTAAAATAAAACTCAATACTTACTGAATGTTTCCCCTTCATGAATACAGCCAATCAGGATTAATGCTACAATGAGCAGGACACACAACTTCACGCGCATCATTTTTATTTGTAACTTTCAAAATGGTGTCGCACTGGCGCAGCGTCCTCTTATACACAGTAACCAGAGATGTAGTGGACGTCATTAGCTTGTGGTCAGGCCCAAACATTTATTTGAAAAGTCTTTTATGTAGGATGGTAGGTGCGATAGGGTTCAGTGGAAACTGCACTGACACGTTTGTTTAGCAGGTGAGATGTCCATATCTCCTCTCAGTGAGCATACAATTTTTGTCAGAAATAAGCCAGTTGAAACTGGTGGTGTCCAGTCTCTACGTTGTACTTTTTGTCAACCAACAGTAACGCTTGTATGATTTTTTTTTTTTTTTGGGGGGGGGGGGGTGCTTAACTGAACTTTGCATGCATAACCAGTCTCAAAAATATAATTTCTTGGCAAAATCTAAAGGGAAGTTTTTGAATTTTTTTTTCAGTGGGACCTTCGGCCAGTTAGTTTCGGGTCACCGCCTGTCCGCCTTTTGTGGGAACTGCTGGCAACGTTCGTTCAACCATGGACGTAAATAGATATCTACGACCTTGATAAATCATTTTCTAAAATTTGGGCTCGTTAAACTTTAAAATACTATACGGAGCACGCCCCAAACACACACCATTCACAGCTGCGACTTTTAAACGACGAATTTAAGAACACTTTTCACTGCTGCCACCTTGGTCAAGATAAGGATACCAATAAAGGACACCCCCCTCGAATAACTGATACACAGAATTATCTAACTCGAAAAGACTAGGACCAAAAAGTAGATACAAATTAGTTAGAAAAGCGAACTGATTTTTAAATGATGGATAACGGTATCTGAAGGATAAATTGGACCTCTGCAATGATCCNCTTTTTTTATTTTCGTCTGATAATTTGACTTTTCACAAATTAGGAAATGCCCGATGAAATATATAGTTTCGTTTAAATTTTTTCTTCTAGAGGCTCATTTACGGAGACTACTCGATGTTGACCATCAGTATGTGATTACGGGTCGTCCTGCATGTCCAGTTCTTCTTCAAGATCAAGAAGCCTCAAAATATCTTTTGCCTCGCGCCTAATAAGCTGAAAAAAGAAACCAAATATTCATGAGTCATTACCATGTCCCATACCTTCCATACTTGTTGGTGTGCACGTGTATCAGTATAAACATACCACGGGGCTGATATCAAAACAAAAGCATTGCAGGGACCGATACAATAAATGAGACGGAGTGACTGCTACGTGCGAAAGATGGGCAGGAAATCAGCCAACTACTCACAGAAAACCACTGACCCATGTCATTGTCAATACATACGCAACCACAAACCATTCACTCAAATGATTGGACGGTGACCGCAATTAGGCAGTAAACGCGGGGAAAGTCCATTCTTTGATATCACGCGGTGATATCAGCGTATATGCGCGGTGATATCAGCGTATTCTATTCAAAGTTAGGGGGTTTGGGTGGGGAACATGCACGATTTCCCTTTGTATGTATGACGAATAATGCACTGAAACCCCCTCGCCCGATATACACGATAGCATGCCTCGCTAGCGCTCGGCATGCTATCGTGTATATCGGGCTCGTGGACAGTGCATTATTTACTACTTAATTCGCTCTGTCGTTGAATATGCTTGTCCTTGTGTCAGAATCTATTCAGTCGAGGGCACTCGGAATCATGTTTCCTGATTTAATTGAAGTTGATGCCCTGGCAATACCAAAGTTTATCACTTTTAGTTTAAAAAAGCGGCGCAAATCTTTCTTCGAGAAAATAAAGAACAGCAAGGATATGCTTAATTACCTCTTAATCTCCGGAAAATATATTCGAAGGCTACAGTGTAACAAACCAATCCAACTTCAATGAAAGACAATTCGAGATTGAACGTTTTCGAAACACCTTTTCCCCTTTTTAATCCAACTTTTAGGGGTCTTTGTTTTATCTCGAACTCAGTATGGACTTATTGTAATTCTTTTATTTATGTAAATATTAATACTTTTTATTCGAACTGATTTTTTTTCTGTATACAGTTTCAACCTTTCGGTTGCAATGTTTCAAAAAACCTTATTACTATATTATCATTGTGCTGCAAACATGAGTGAAAGTCGTGGTACATACCTCTTTTCTCCTGTCAAACTCTTTGCCTTTCACTATTTTACCCTTTGGTGGGTGTCGGCCGGCCGCTTGAAATATAACCATAAGAACAACGTAAGGCAGGAAAAGATAACAATACTGGTAACTCACCAAAGTGGTGGTGACATTACAAAACAAGGCGGATCATTATCATTTCAAACTTCATCAGTTGTTCAGTTCAGATTAAAATAAAACTCAATACTTACTGAATGTTTCCCCTTCATGAATACAGCCAATCAGCAGTAATGCTACAATGAGCAGGACACACAACTTCACGCGCATCATTTTTATTTGTAACTTTCAAAATGGTGTCGCACTGGCGCAGCGTCCTCTTATACACAGTAACCGGAGATGTAGTGGACGTCATTAGCTTGCGGTCAGGCCCAAACGATAGGGTTCAGTGGAAATTGCACTAACGCTTTTGTTAAGCAGGTGAAATCTCCATATTTCCGCTCAGTGAGCATACAATTTTGTCAGAAATAAGCCAGTTGGAACTGGTGGTGTCTAGTCTCTACGCTGTACTTTTTGTCAACCAACAGTAACGCCTGTATGATGTTTTTTTTTTTTTTTTTTTTTTTTTGTTTTTTTGTCTACACTGAACTTTGCATGCATTGCCAGTCTCAAAAATATAATTTCTTGGCAAAATCTAAAGGGAAGTTTTTGAATTTTTTTCAGTGGGACCTTCGGCCAGTTAGTTTCGGGTCACCGCCTGTCCGCCTTTTGTGGTTACTGCTGGTAGTGTTCGTTCAACCATGGACGTAAATAGATATCTACGACCTTGATAAATCATATTCTAAAATTTGGGCTCGTTAAACTTTAAAATACTATACGGAGCACGCCCCAAACACACACCATTCACAGCTGCGTCTTTTAAACGACGAATTTAAGAACACTTTTCACTGCTGCCACCTTGGTCAAGATAAGGATACCAATAAAGGACACCCCCCTCGAATAACTGATACACAGGATTATCTAACTGGAAAAGACTAGGACCAAAAAGTAGATACAAATTAGTTAGAAAAGCGAACTGATTTTTAAATGATGGATAACGGTATCTGAAGGATAAATTGGACCTCTGCAATGATCCATTAATACTAGGCAGTGATTGAAATTTTCTTTCACGAGGAGCATATATATATATATTCTGTAGAAAAAGGTGTACGTGTGTCCTCCCAAATATCATCCTCAGAGACTCACGATTCACTTCAAGAGTCACATTGAAAAAAAAAACTTAAGTCGGTTGAATACGGTGACCTGGTTACTCTGAGCGAGATGTTGTTTTAATATATTTTTTTATCAAACAAATCAAATTAATAATGGATAACAATTCATAAATTTTCTCGAACTAAACATTGTATTTGTGTATCAATATCGGAAACATTTAAAGTACGACAGGATATTATCAAAATAATGACCGTTTTCTTGATTATGTTGCACAGTTCTCTTCTCCGAGACAAACTATAATACTGTTTGTCATCTTATTCGATTCGACCGTGAAGAGTAGTATAATAACATGATTTAAATCTATGTTATAACGAGTTAGTTTTTGTCAACATATATTCTAAATCACAGATAGATAGAGAGTCCGCTTCCCATTCATTTGTTTAGGTAAGCCTCGCCCTTGATTTTGACCCACTTACGACAGGCTAACCCTAACCATTAAAACTAAATGGAAGGCGGACTTTCTGTTACACGGACCCTCAGTTTCGTTACGCCGCACAAACAGACCGGTAGCAATGTCGGCATTTTTGGTGATTATAACTCGGAGGTAAATATTTTCTCAAACTTTCATTCATTTCCCTTGCCCCAAAAGATACATTTATATTGCAGATACAAATGAAAAAATAAAATTTTCTACCCACCCACAATCTAAATTGAACGTTTGTGATGTATCCTAGGTCATTTGCAAAATGCACTTTACCAACATCCGTTCATCAACAGCAGTTCTTGGTATTCGAATGGGTTCTTGGCGTACATGTCCGCAGTAAGATTGATCTCAATGTCGTGCGTATATTTTAAACAAACCAATTTGACAGTAAAGATTACGAACACTGCAGTTTCTATCAATTGCAAAAACAGCTTAAATCCCCTCGCCCTCCTGTATCAATAAGCTAAACGCTGTACTCTAAAATGCCAAGACAGGCTGGCTGAAATGACATTTGCACACTAATATATATATATATATTACTGCACATTTTTATTATCTATATTTCATCATCTGATGATTTGACTTTTCACAATTAAGTAACAGCATGGGGAAATATGCAGTTTCGTTTGAATTCTCATTCTAAAAGTTTAGTTATGGAGACTCCTCGATGTTGTCTGCCGTCACGGATCGTCCTGCATGTCCAGTTCTTCTTCAAGATCAAGAAGCTTTAAAATGTTTTCCGCCTCACGTTGAAGAAGCTGAAAAAGAAACCAAATACTCACGAGTCATTGCCATGTTCCATAGCTTCAATGTTAGTGGATAATGAGTGATGTTGGAAAAATGGTAAAAGTTGTAGTACAAACCTCTTCCCTCAGGTCTAACTCCTTTCCCTTCACCTTTTTAGCCTTAATGCCGTTGCCTGAAATATAACCATATGGACCACATAAGTACGCAGGTAAGTATAACAATGCGTAGCCAAAGTACCAGTGATATTATAGATGAAGGCAGATCATTATCATTTCAAACTTCATCACTTTAATCATTTTTTTTAAATCTGAAGGGATCTTGCTCAGTTTTCAATTTAATTCCAATACTTACTGAATGCTTCTCCTTCATGAATACAGCCAATCACCAGTAATGCTACAATGAGCAGGACACACAACTTCACGCGCATCATTTTTATTTGAAACTTTCAAAATGATGTCGCACTGGCGTCCTCTTATACACAGTAAACAGTGATGTAGTGGACGACATTAGCTTGCGGTCAAGCCCAAACATTTATTTCAAATGTCTTTTATGTAGGAGGGTAGATGCGATAGGGTTCAGTGGAAATTGGACTAACGCTTTTGTTTAGCAGGTGAAATTTCCATATCTCCGCTCATTGAGCATACAATTTTTGTCAGAAATCAGCCAGTTGAAACTGGTAGTTTCAGTTTTTACGTTGTATTTTTTGTCAACAGTAGCGTGCTAATGGCTTTTTTTTTTGTGCTTCACTGAATTTTGCATACATAACCAATTTCAAAAATAAACTTTCTTGGCAAAATCTCAAGTTTAATTTTTGAATTTTTTTCAGTGGGACCTTCGGCCAGTTAGTTTCGGGTCACCTCAGTTACGCCTTTTGTGGGAACTGCTGGTAGCGTTCGTTCCACCATGGACGTAAATAGATATCTACGTACTTGGTTTATCCTTGATAAATCATGTTCTAAAATTTGCGCTCGTCGTTGTTAAACTTTAAAATACTATACGCAGCACGCCCCCCTCCTAACACACACTGCTTCGTCTTTCAAACGACGAATTTAAGAACACTTTTCACTGCTGCCACCTTGGTCAAGATAAGGATACCAATCAAGGACACATTCTGAGTAAGGGTGTCCTCCCAAAAAAACATTGCCAGAGACTCACGATTCACTTCAAGAGTTACGTTGAAAGAAGAAACTCCACTTGGTTGTATACGGTGACCTGGCTACTCTGAGCGAGGTGTTGTTTTTAATATATATTCTTTATTAAACAAATCATATCAGTAATGGATAACAATTCATACATTTTCTTGGACTTAACATTGTATTTGCGTATCAATACCGGAAACATTTAAAATTACGATAGAATATAATCCAAATAATGACCGTTTTCTAGATTTTGTTGCGAAGTTCTCTCCGATACAAACTATAATTACTGTTTGTCATCTTATTCGATGGGATCGTGGAGCGTGGTATAATCAGATGATTTAAATCTATATAATGCCGAGTTCATTTTTGTCAACATATATTCTGAATCACAATATCATGGTAAAATTTCACACATCAGTGGCACACATTAATTATGTAATCTCCCACGTGCTGGCGTTCCTTTTAGCACGCCCCCTGGTACACCACCAAGTTGTCAATAGCCATGTCGCTGGTATGACTTCGCCCAACTTCACCCTCAATGTACAGCTATAAATAGAGAAATCAAACAAGCGATATTCGACGAAATGACATTGCAGGGTTTTCAGTAAAATTTTCCCCACAGGTTAAAAACAATTTCATAACGCATTTTATCTGTAATATATATATATATATTTTCCTATCCAAACCCCCTCGGCTCCAAAATAAATGGCATCCGTATTTGAAAAAGGAAAGGGAAAGAAAAGAAGGTATTCGTGATAGCAAAAATATTACAATAAATAAATAAATAAATAAATAGATAAATAAATAAAAAAAAATAAAAAATCAATTTTAGTTGAATTAAATGTCTAAGCAAACACTCACATTGTAAGTACCATAGCCGCTGACTCTTGCCGTGAGCCGCATACGGCGCCACATATTGCCCTGATCTCCCCATTTCTGCCAGACGGGGTACGTGTTGTAGTCATACCTCACCCCGATATTCATGGTGCCCATGTAGTCACCGTACATATGGTAGTAGAAGTCGACACAGTATTCTCCGTTAGTGGCCGTTATGTACGGAGAGATGATTCGGGCTTTCAGGTTGTAATATCCAGAGGCTTCCAAGTACATGTAGTATCCTACAACGATAATCATTGTTAGTGCTTTAGATTCGGGCTATTGTAAGGCAGCAGTATGTGCAAGAAACGTTAATAAGCATGCCGCATTATTGAAACTGTCCAAGTGAAACGACCAAGTGAAGATTAAAAAAAATAAGTAACATATTCATAGACAAAACATAACAAACATAAACAACCATGACTTGCGGTCCATTACAAGAATACGCATTACCCCTATGGCTTTCTGGTGTGTGTGGGATCATACATAGAAACTGGATACTCACGCTGACAAAAAATACAATAAATAATCATTGTCCTTACAAATCAGACATCAAATAACTGAAACATGTGAAACATGATATATAAACTAAAACTACTATAGGGTAATGCAGCATTAGATTGTGGGACAACGCAAGCACCGGTGGCAGCAAAAGACGAAGTACTCGAAGCAAGGTTGGTAACAAACAATAAAAGACCATTTTGGTGCCCTAAGTCTTTCTGTTCATTACACTGTAATACAGGTTTCTCCTTTCGGTCGAGAGACTCAAGACCATTGTGACCCAATACTTCATGTTAGAAAGTTCAACGTGTGAGCATTTCAGTCGTGCTTCTTTTAAAACCTATATGTTTATGAACATTGACATTGATATTGCAACTGATTTAACTTCTTGAGACCAACAACTAAAAGTTAAATTTCAGATACTCAGAGTATTTCTAATTTTACTACTAGTTGCTGATGTCTAATTTTTCATATTTAATAAGAAACCCTGTGTAGAAATATTGTATGCGGATACTAACAATCGATAACTACAATGCATTGGATTTTCGCCAGAAAATACTCAGACTTGGTGCCATTCGCTCATCATCATTTAAGTGATTTCAATTAGTAAATTAATATGACAGCTGCGTGGTTTGTTCTCATCCTTAACTGACAAGTCTAGCACAAATGACATCTGCATCTGTAATGACCCCGAATTTAAACCATTTGTCATTGTAGACTAAGTAACGCGTAATGCATTGGACTGCATTATGGGTTTCATCTTCATCTTTATTTTTAAAATGCCAACCGAAACACCACTTTCTTCTGCCTGACAACTGATGTTTAGTCCATATTAATATTATATGATGTTACTTTCAACTGGTAAATTACGGAGATTGTTCAAAGATCAAACTTCCTCTTTGCTCACCGACCAAGTTGTTCATTGAATGACACTCTTTTCCTTAGAGGCCTCCCTTGTCAGAGAGTGACTTAAAGGTATCAAATATTCCTTGAATAAATGAAAGCAATTTTCTCCAAACTCACAAATTATAACTCGACCCGTGTGCTTTAAAACATTTCGATTTAAAAAAATTAAGTTCTGGTCTTATTTTGACCGCCACGTCTTCATTTCAGAAGGGAATGGGACATCACTATTTTACCGTTTTCAGAATCTAAATAGGGAAAAATAAGGTGCTCTTCTGGCTATGCAGACGTAAAAACATGACTTTAAGCCATAGCAGAGAATACAAGTAATTTTTTTTTAGAATTCCACATCTGAGTGCCTTACCCGCATATATACCATCAGTGTATACATACAGGTATACCTTACTCCACCNATACTTTATTAAACAAATCATATCAGTAATGGATAACAATTCATACATTTTCTCGGACTTAACATTGTATTTGCGTATCAATACCGGAAACATTTAAAATTACGATAGAATATAATCCAAATAATGACCGTTTTCTAGATTTTGTTGCGAAGTTCTCTCCGATACAAACTATAATTACTGTTTGTCATCTTATTCGATGGGATCGTGGAGCGTGGTATAATCAGATGATTTAAATCTATATAATGCCGAGTTCATTTTTGTCAACATATATTCTGAATCACAATATCATGGTAAAATTTCACACATCAGTGGCACACATTAATTATGTAGTCTCCCACGTGCTGGCGTTCCTTTAGCACGCCCCCTGGTAGACCACCAAGTTGTCAATAGCCATGTCGCTGGTATGACTTCGCCCAACTTCACCCTCAATGTACAGCTACAAATAGAGAAATCAAACAAGCGATATTCGACTAAATGACAATGTAGGGCTTTTAGTAAATGTTTTGTCACAGGTTAAAAACAATTTCATAAGGCATTTTATCTATAATATATATTTTTTCCGATCCTAACCCCCTCGGCTCCAAAATAAATGGCATCAGTATTTGAAAAAGGAAAGGGAAAGAAAAGAAGGTCATCGTGATAGCAAAAATATTACAATAAATAAATAAATAAAAATAAAAAATCAATTATAATTGAATTAAATGTCTAAGCAGACACTCACATTGTAAGTACCATAGCCGCTGACTCTTGCCGTGAGCCGCATACGGCGCCACATATTGCCCTGATCTCCCCATTTCTGCCAGACGGGGTACGTGTTGTAGTCATACCTCACCCCGATATTCATGGTGCCCATGTAGTCACCGTACATATGGTAGTAGAAGTCGACACAGTATTCTCCGTTAGTGGCCGTTATGTACGGAGAGATGATTCGGGCTTTCAGGTTGTAATATCCAGAGGCTTCCAAGTACATGTAGTATCCTACAACGATAATCATTGTTAGTGCTTTAGATTCGGGCTATTGTAAGGCAGCAGTATGTGCAAGAAACGTAAATAAGCATGCCGCATTATTGAAACTGTCCAAGTGAAACGACCAAGTGAAGATTTAAAAAAATAAGTAACATATTCATAGACAAAACATAACAAACATAAACAACCATGACTGGCGGTCCATTACAAGAATACGCATTACCCCTATGGCTTTCTGGTGTGTATGGGATCATACATAGAAACTGGATACTCACGCTGACAAAAAATACAATAAATAATCATTGTCCTTACAAATCAGACATCAAATAACTGAAACATGTGAAACATGATATATAAACTAAAACTACTGTAGGGTAATGCAGCATTAGATTGTGGGACAACGCAAGCACCGGTGGCAGCAAAAGACGAAGTACTCGAAGCAAGGTTGGTAACAAACAATAAAAGACCATTTTGGTGCCCTAAGTCTTTCTGTTCAATTCACTGTAATACAGGTTTCTCCTTTCGGTCGAGAGACTCAAGACCATTGTGACCCAATACTTCATGTTAGAAAGTTCAACGTGTGAGCATTTCAGTCGTACTTCTTTTAAAACCTAAGTTAATGTACCCTGTATACATGTTTATGGACATTGATATTGCAACTGATTTAACTTCTTGAGACCAACAACTAAAAGTTAAATTTCAGATACTCAGAGTATCTCTAATTTTACTAGTAGTGGCTGATGTCTTATTTTTCATACTTAATAAGAAACCCTGTGTAGAAATATTGTATGCGGATACTAACAATCGATAACTACAATGCATTGGATTTTCGCCAGAAAATACTCAGACTTGGTGCCATTCGCTCATCATCATTTAAGTGATTTCAATTAGTAAATTAATATGACAGCTGCGTGGTTTGTTCTCATCCTTAACTGACAAGTTTAGCACAAATGACATCTGCATCTGTAATGACCCCGAATTTAAACCATTTGTCATTGTAGACTAAGTAACGCGTAATGCATTGGACTGCATTATGGGTTTCATCTTCATCTTTATTTTTAAAATGCCAACCGAAACACCACTTTCTTCTGCCTGACAACTGATGTTTAGTCCATATTAATATTATATGATGTTACTTTCAACTGGTAAATTACGGAGATTGTTCAAAGATCAAACTTCCTCTTTGCTCACCGACCAAGTTGTTCATTGAATGACACTCTTTTCCTTAGAGGCCTCACTTGTCAGAGAGTGACTTAAAGGTATCAAATATTCCTTGAATAGATGAAAGCAATTTTCTCCAAACTCACGAATTATAACTCGACCCGTGTGCTTTAAAACATTTCGATTTAAAAAAAATTAAGTTCTGGTCAGTTATTTTGACCGCCACGTCTTCATTTCAGAAGGGAATGGGACATCACTATTTTACCGTTTTCAGAATCTAAATAGGGAAAAATAAGGTGCTCCTCTGGCTATGCAGACGTAAAAACATGACTTTAAGCCATAGCAGAGAATACAAGTAATTTTTTTGTTTTAGGATTCCACATCTGAGTGCCTTACCCGCATATATACCATCAGTGTTCACATACAGGTACACCTTACTCCACCTGCACATATACCTAAACCGCTATATACGTACCTTACCTGGTCTTACCTGCACATATACTTAAACCCCTATATATACGTACCTTACCTGGTCTTACCTGCACATATACCTAAACCGCTATATACGTACCTTACCTGGTCTTACCTGCACATATATCTATATCACTATACACGTACTGGTACACATGTGTACCTTAAATGCATATACCCTATATACCTAAACCGCTACATGCGCACCTTACCTGCACATATACCTAAACCGCTATGTGCGTACCTTACCTGACCTTATCCTCACATATACCTAAATCGCGATACACGTACCTTGGCCAGAGGCACTTAAGTCTGAGGACGGTCCCGTGTTGTAGCTGGGGGTAGAACCAGAACGCAGGTACCACTGGTGGGGCACCGACGTGTCCACTTCCCAACCGCACAGAGTCCCCTCGTCGAACGTACAGTAGAATAGTATATCTAGAGAGATGGAGAAATCGCCCTTTATTTTAAAGAGTATTGTTTTATACTTTGTACCATTCCTTAACAGTGCAAAATTTGTGGACTTTCATCTGAGTACTATAGCAATTACGAAAATAACCCTGATCAGTTTGTACAATAACTATACTTTAGAAATATTTCAGTTAGAATAGTATTTCAGTTTAAAGATAAAAAAGCTGATGCTTATGGTAGGCTATATGTAAATCAGCTGCATTGCGGAATCCAGACAAATATGACTCAATATATACTTCCGCGTAATTTGTGTGTGTGTGTGTGTGTGTTTTTTAATTCTGGTTCCAGGGACTGCTAGCCCATGTATTATAGAAATAAAATAAATTGACTGACTGAAGTACAGAGCTATTCAGTCGACTGAGACGTACTGTTAGTGACAGGCGGAGGGTTGGTGATAACTGGGACGATAGGCATGGGGGTAGGCACCACATTGGGGGGTAAGGTGGGCGGCTGCGTGGGGGGCTGCGTCGGTCTCAACGTCTGTCCCTGTTGACTGTCTGAAAATACACGGAGAAACTTTATTAAAGTTTAAACATGTATGATATCCTTAAGTAAAAAATATATATATAGTAGTAAAGTAGTATTTATTAAATGCTTATATCGTGATTGATCATTTATATTAAGTTTTAGTTATTGGTTTAAAAACATGTTGGGGAGTAGTGTAACTGCCCAATAACACAGCCTACAAAAAAGTATTTCAAAACGAAAAATATTTCTTAAAATATTACATGAAATATTAGAAAAATTAATCTCTAAAAGGAAACAAACAAGTTCTATCAAATGAACAGGCTTTGCAATGTTAAGATTGGGTTATAACACAAATTATTATCTTAAACCAACGGTATTCGTTTCCCGATGTTTATGTATCAAAAAAGCTCATACTCTGGCAGCCGTAGCGGGAGAGCACCTCCAGGACGTCGATCTCAGACAGCCTCACTCTCTGTCCCATCACCGACAGCATGGACTGGTCCCGCGGAATAATGGTCGGCTTGCTGCGGTCCTGGGCGAACGAGTAGGCCGAGTAATGCATCACAGACCCATAGTCATAACGGGCGTAGTTCACCGTCTGGGAGGAGTCGTACTTCTGGAAGTTGCCGTCCTTGCCTGGGGTGAGGTTTGGAAATTAGTATACAGGTATAAATACTTCTTTTTTTAACATGAACTTACTAGATGGTATTTTGTTTAAGCGAATGCAGGATGGGTTGTCCCGATGACATCCGTCCCCGGAAAACTTTGTTGCAAGCACTAGTGTTCGAACATTGAAATAATTAAATATAGCTCAAAAACATCACCGATGCACTTATATGAAAGGATTGCAAATGCACTTCTATAACAAATGGCTGAAAATTAAAAATGAAAAAGAGACAGAATGAACCATCAAGTGTCCCTCACCGCTCTGAATGTTGCTGTAATCTATGGTGACGTACTGGTCACGGTCTGAGCGGCTCTGCTCGTGGAAGAAGCCTAAGGCGTGCAGGAGCTCGTGCATGATGGTCCCCTTCCTCTCGCAGCCACGCCCTATCGAGACCAACTGCTCCCCTCCGGCTCGACCCACTGTAGAGTAGCAACTGGTATAGGAAATAAGGCACTTCATGAGCGTAAAAACTTGGTGTAGCAGAAAAAAAACTAGGGAATTTAAATATTGTTTCCTTTGTCGTCTATGAACATTACATGTACATTCAAAACCGGTGGTAAAATTACGATGTACACATCTACACTTAACACCAGTTTTTTGAGTAGATTATTTATTTTCTTAACAGTTTTGGATTGAGTATACCAGTACCTTGGTAATTGAGAGAAATCAATTATATATTACGGAAAGTCATCATTATTATCACTACTGCTTTGCTTTTAATAAATTGAAAAAAAAAATACACTTTCAGCATCAACTGCAAAATGGGTATTTCTATGACTTATTTAAATATCTATTTCTAACCAAAACGTCGTACGTATGGAAGGGTGTTGAAGTCAAATTTAACTAGTCATCAATGATTCTCAAAAAATAAATAAATAAATAAATAAATGAATAAAAATTAAGCCATGGCAACATGTATCAAAATGTTATGAATTATGCTTTACGTGATACTTCTTATTTTAATATTCATCATTTATAAATATTTTGAAAGCAAAATTGAGAGTTTTCAACTTGGCACTTACAGAATACACTCAGGTGGGTGACGACAGCAGCAACATTCAAGTGAGGACATATTATAGGCCCTATATTGTTCTTTATTTAGCATCTTGATTCAAATAACAAAGTGATTGTGACTATATATTACCCAGATTTAGGTTGAATGTGCACATAGTCAGTGTGGGTAGTCTTTGGCTCAAAGCGAATACAGCCGCCAGTCTTGGTGGTAATTTCCTGCATGGCTTGCTGTATAGTGGTGGCCACACTGGCCGCTGAAATAGCAACAACAACAACAACCTGCTGTGCATGTCGGGATACCCTCTGACCACAAGCTCCGCTAATAGTCGGTTTAATTTTGTATATTATTCTACAGGTCCCTGTTGTCAGAGGACACTGTCGGGCCATATTCGTTAATTACGGTATAATGCTTTATTCTTAAAGGACAATGTTCATGTAAAAATCCATTTCTCGAATTTTGAAGATACAGCACTCAATCTATACACTAGAGGCATGTTTTAATCGATCCCCGCCATTTAAAAATTATAAAAACAATCTATTAGTAGAAAAAAAGCGTTTTAGTAAACCTCACCTCAATATGCAAAAATGAAGCAACAGATCTGGGTCACGTGGTACNGTCTTACCTGCACATATATCTATATCACTATACACGTACTGGTACACATGTGTACCTTAAATGCATATACCCTATATACCTAAACCGCTACATGCGCACCTTACCTGCACATATACCTAAACCGCTGTGTGCGTACCTTACCTGACCTTATCCTCACATATACCTAAATCGCGATACACGTACCTTGGCCAGAGGCACTTAAGTCTGAGGACGGTCCCGTGTTATAGCTGGGGGTAGAACCAGAACGCAGGTACCACTGGTGGGGCACCGACGTGTCCACTTCCCAACCGCACAGAGTCCCCTCGTCGAAAGTACAGTAGAACAGTATATCTAGAGAGATGGAGAAATCGCTCTTAATTTTAAAGAGTATTGTTTTATACTTTGTACGATTCCTTAACAGTGCAAAATGTGTGGACTTTCATCTGAGTATTATAGCAATTACGAAAATAACCCGGCTCAGTTTATACAATTACTTTAGAAATATTTCAGTTAGAATAGCATTTCAATTAAAATATGATAAAATTGCTGCTAATAGTTTATGTAAATCAGATGCATGGCGGAATTCAGAGAAGAATGAATTAAAGAAGGTATGACTGAATATAAAGTTTTGTGTAATTTATGTTTTTTTTTAAATTCTGTACTGATAGGCCATGTATCATTGAAATGAAATAAGCTGACTGAAGTACAGAGCTATTCAGGCGACTGAGACGTACTGTTAGTGACAGGCGGAGGGTTGGTGATAACTGGGACGACTGGCATGGGGGTAGGCACCACATTGGGGGGTAAGGTGGGCGGCTGTGTGGGAGGCTGCGTCGGTCTTAAAGTCTGTCCCTGTTGACTGTCTGAAATTACACGGGAAAGCTTTATTGAAGGTTAAACGTGTGATATCCTTGAATTGAAAAAAATTATATATCTAACATAAGCAGTTATATAATATAATATAATATAATATAATATAATATAATATAATATAATATAATATAATATAATATAATATAATTTGCTTATATGTGATTGATCATTTATATTAAGCTTTTATTATTGGTTTAAAACATGTTGGGGAGTAGTGCAAGTGCCCAATAACACAACCTACAAAAAGTATTTCAAAACGAAAAATATTTCCTAAAATATTAGGCCCCTATGTGAAAGATTAGAAATATTAATCTCCAAGGGAAACAAACAAGTTCTATCAAATGAACAGGCTTTGCAATGTTAAGATTGGGTTATAACACAAATTATTATCATAAACCAACGGTATTCGTTTCCCGATGTATCTTAAAAGGCTCATACTCTGGCAGCCGTAGCGGGAGAGCACCTCCAAGACGTCGATCTCAGACAGCCTCACTCTCTGACCCATCACCGACAGCATGGACTGGTCCCGCGGGATAATGGTCGGCTTGCTGCGGTCCTGGGCGAACGAGTAGGCCGAGTAATGCATCACAGACCCATAGTCATAACGGGCGTAGTTCACCGTCTGGGAGGAGTCGTACTTCTGGAAGTTGCCGTCCTTGCCTGGGGTGAGGTTTGGAAATTAGAATACAGGTATAAATACTTCCATTTTCAACATGAACTTACTAGATGGTATTTTGTTTAAGCGAATGCAGGATGGGTTGTCCCGATGACATCCGTCCCCGGAAAACTAGTGTTCGTCCATTGAAATAATTAAATTTAGCTCAAAAACATTAGCGATGCACTAATATGAAAGGATTGCAAATGCACTTCTATAACAAATGGCTGAAAATTAAAAATGAAAAAGAGACAGAATGAACCATCAAGTGTCCCTCACCGCTCTGAATGTTGCTGTAATCTATGGTGACGTACTGGTCACGGTCTGAGCGACTCTGCTCGTGGAAGAAGCCTAAGGCATGCAGGAGCTCGTGCATGATGGTCCCCTTCCTCTCACATCCACGCCCTATCGAGACCAACTGCTCCCCTCCGGCTCGACCCACTGTAGAGTAGCAACTGATAAAGGAAATAAGGCACTTCATGAGCGTAAAAACTTGGTGTAGCAGAAAACTTGGTGTAGCAGAAAAAAATCTAGGGAATTTAAATATTGTTTCCTTTATCGTCTATGAACATTACGTGTACATTCAAAACTGGTGGTAAATTTACGATGTATACATCTACACTTAACACCAGTTTTTGAGAGGATTGTTTATTTTCTTAACAGTTTTGAGTTGAGTATACCAGCACCTTGGTAATTGAGAGAAATCAATTAAATTTTCAGGAAAGTCATCATTATTATCACTATTGCTTTGCTGTTAATAAATAAATAAATAAAAAAACAAACACTTTCAGCATCAACTGCAAAATGGGTATTTCTATTACTTATTAAAATATTTATATCTATATCTAACCAAAACGTAGAAATCGGCCACTTCTGTTCACAATTTGAATTGGCGTTGAAGTCAAATTAAACTAGTCTTCAATGCTTCTCAAAAAAAAAAAAAAAAAAGAATAAATAAATAAATAAAAATTAAGCCATGGCAACATGTATCAAAATGGCTGCTGAGTTATGCTTTACGTGATACTTCGAATTTTAATATTCATCACGTATCGACTATTTGAAGTTTATATTTTGAAAGCAAAATTGAGAGTTTTCAACTTCGCACTTACAGAATACACTGAGATGGGTGAGGACAGCAGTAACATTTAAGGGAGGACATATCATAGGCCCTATATTGTTCTTTATTTAGCTTCTTGATTCAAATAACAAAGTGATTATAACTATATTACCCAGATTTAGGTTGAATATGCACATAGTCGGTGTGGGTAGTCTTTGGCTCAAAGCGAATACAGCCGCCAGTCTTGGTGGTAATTTCCTGCATGGCTTGCTGTATAGTGGTGGCCACACTGGCCGCTGAAATAGCAACAACAACAACCTGCTGTGCATGTCGGGATACCCTCTGACCACAAGCTCCGCTAGTAGTCGGTTTAATTTTGTATAGTATTCTACAGGTCCCTGTTGTCAGAGGACACTGTCGGGCCATATTCGTTAATAACGGTATAATGCTTTATTCTAAAATTCCACTTGGAGCGTTACATGGAGCTCTATTCGAACAAAATGCTGAATCATGAAGGAAGACATTTCTACAGCAGTAAGAATATTGGCCTGTCTAAAATACCAAACAAATACCAAATTAATTTCTTACCAGATCTTACATGTAGCTATAACAAACATGAAATAACCTTGTTTCGTTATTGTTTTGTTTGTTTTTAGTTATATATTAAACGTGTGTGTCATAATGATCGAAAAAATAATCGAGGCACGTGTTGTCTTTGTAAGAACTTACGGTAACTCGTGCTAATGACATAGGCCACGACACCATTTGGCCATTTTGTTCTCTGGGAACTCATTGCATTTCGCAGCTAATAAAAAGAAAACAAGAAATTAATTTTGGTCATATATATATATATATATATATATATATATATATATATATATATATATATATATATAGTCATCTGTTTGGCCACGTGTGGTGTAATGGTTATGGTGAAATGATTTCTGTACGCAGTCTAAACATGCTTCAAAGAAGATTTATGACTGAAGATTATGAAAAAATGATTCAATAAGGCCGAAATACCACTGAGACCATGGAATAAGTAAAGGAACCGTTTTTGCTTCGCTGTTTGATCTGAACTTTAATCAGTATGCATAGTAATTTCTGAATATCAAGAGAAAACAAGCTAAATTGACTACATTGACTAAAGCTCGGGCGTATAAGATGTACTAAATAATTTCCATTACCTTAAACATTTTCATGACCTCTTTCTCTTGCATGTCTATGTCTCCTTCGAATCGTCCTGAAATTTCATTTTAAAGGCATTCGTATTTCATATCGTTTAACAAAACCTCAAATCATTTTGAAATTTATTGGCAGACAACACTACATAGTACATGGGCCTTTTTTTAACAACGTCATACCTAAATGTTAAATGTATCATATTTATAGGACGTATACACACAGGTAAAACATGGCTGTCTTCATGGGAAAACACAATGTGTAGACAAACATGTACTTTTATTAGAATAAATCCAAGCAGAGGTGACATACCTGACATTTCCTCCGGGTTGGCACCTGACATTGGGAGAGCTGAAATAACATACGAAAATATGAAAAAAAAAGAACTGAAATAATTGGTGGCTTAGCTATATAGGATATAGCTTAAACATATGGCGTTCAACATGTTCTATAGTACTCTTTCCTATGGTTGTTTTCTGGTATAATCTGTGACACCAGAACCAGAAACGCCCATTTAATTTTTAAAAAACTGCTTTGTATTTTGTTTCAAAACTATAAATATGGCCAATAGCATCATTTATTCAACGTTGAAATGTCAATTTCTCAAATGACCTACATTTGTTTTGTTCTTATCATATGAGATAGATCAGACATACCCCATTCTCCTTTGCCAAACTCACTGATGTCTACCTGAAAGGAAGCAACAGCAAAGTTACGGGTGACATTGAATATTTGAATTATTCGAAAAAGAAAAAAATATGTACCCATAACATCTCTTTTCGTATATAAACAAAGATGTCTGACTTGTAACGGCTAAGGCAAAACTATCGTTTTTAGAAATTCCTGTGTACCAAACCTGCACTGTTTCCTTCTCTACGACTTTTGTATCGGGTTTGATCGGGGGGTCGGTTGGTCTCCCAAAAGCTCCCGTTAATATGAACGCAAACGCACATATGGCGACAAACGCCATGGTTCTACTTAATGTCCGTATGATTTGCCCTTTTGCCAACATCGGTTATCTCTCAAACCTTAATCAGAGGCGGGAACACCCCCTTGGCACTCAAGGAAGCGTGTCACAGACCGCTTACTACAAACGCCATCTACCATATGTATCCAACCGAAAACTAAAAAAAATGAGACTAAAAACCCGGTTCCTTGAAATTTTCAATGAAAAATGATTAATGACGATGTAAATGTGGGGTATGAATACATAAGCATCTTAAATAAAGTGCACCTGTTGGTGCTGAGTATAACACAACTAAAGAAACTTTATGTATATGTACTAGTAACTGTGTACATTGGCGAAATGCAACGTATGTGGCCTAGTTCACACAGTTATCAGCGCTCTTCCTGTGTATCTAAGGCAATGAAACGTGTCCGGTAAGTGTATTTGCCATTATGGTGTGAGGAAACACATAAAAGGTTAAATCAGCAAGTATCCGCAAAAGTTAAGAAACATCATGTCAATTTAAAAGGAAACTGTAGTTCCCACTTCGGGATACATGCAGGGCGCATTTCAACGTATTTTCCTTATTTGGGATTAAACACTTTGTGTATCAAACGTTCTAGTTGAGTTGGTAAAATCATCGTTTCAAACATGTGAACGACGTCACATGAGTTGCCGTGGATCACGCGGTCAATAGACGTGTCTTCCACTGCATGCTCAGATAACGTATGTTCGGGTGGCGTGTATTTGTCAGGGGAAGATACCGCAGAACTAATAGGTTACCGCAAACAAAAGATAATCTTATACGATGCTTGTATAGTGTATGTTATATTTCATACATAGTTTTCATGAAATACGTACCAGGCATCTCTAAATTGCATGCACGATGACACATGCTTACACAATGACAAAGCTTCAAACTTTGAAATTATCTACTGCGAATGGTGATTGTAAATATAATATTTGTCAGATGCAATTGATAGTTCAGTAAACAAACCAATGCCGTTGATTCTAAGTAGATTAGATAACGTGATTGCTTTAGTTGCGTTGGATGGGAAGCAGTGACACCACAGACAAAATGGGACCATTCCCAAAGATATTTGGATCGATCTCCCTGGGGAGTCTCACCAAATTGCTGTCAACTTAGCCGGCTTAAATGTCTGTCACGCCCATTAATGCTGCTAGGGGGTAATTATCTTTACCTTCTAGCTGATTCGGTAGGCGTGACAGACATTTAAGCCGGTCAAGTTGACAGCAATTTAGTGAGACTCCCAAGGGAATTAAGCATAGGAACCCAGTCAATGACGTTAAGCAGGATGGTAGCTTTCCTAAATGACAAACCTCTTTAGATGGAAACCAACCGAGAAGGCCTTTTATTTGGCACTGAGTGACACCATATGAAAGTAGAGAACACGTGATCCGCGTGAGGCGGGTTAACTTTTTTTTTACAACAAGGGTAAAACTCATGCACATGCACTGCAACGCATTTTGCAACCAAAGAAAATCGTTAAAACGCATTTTGCAACTGCAACGCATTTTGCAACCAGGATTTTTTCTAAGTCCCTGAAACAGTTTGAAGTACGAAACAGGTAGAATTTGAGTGGGGACGGGTTTGCTTCGACTAGGTACGCTGAGACTGGTCAGGTTGCCTCTGGGTACGGGAAAATACATGTATATAATCTATTTCTCAATTTCCTAAACCATTAGAGTTAGGAAGTTGAAACGTGAGGGAAAAATAAAGATATTGTTAGGCATGTACATGGACACTTATAATTTATATGTAAATTAGGGGTGTGGCCGTCCCTAGGGGTGGTTGATTGTTTTTCTGTTATCTTCCCTTATATCTTTAGGATTAGGAAATAAAAGCGTTGGGATTAATACACTATCGTAAGAAATGTGCGTGGGCACTTCAGATTTTTTGTGACTTGGCGTGTGGTTGTCCCTGGAGGTGGTTGAGATCGTTAGAGATGTGCTTGGGCACATCGGAATTTTTGTGACTTGGGGAGTGGCCGTCCCTGGGGATGGTTGACTGTAATATTTTCACCGTAATTTCTTTCATCTCCTTCTAGACCATTCGAGTTTGGAACATGAGTCTTTGGTGCATGGGTACAGGAGAATTTTAGTGTGACTTGGGTGTGACTGTCCCTGAGGGGATGGGGTGATTAGTGGTTAAGGATTAGTGATTAGTGATTAGATTAGTCAGACAATACACTCATAAAAAGTGACTGGTTTATCAATCCCCAACGTTTCATGTTCCTAACTCTCAGGGTAGATGGTAGAAATAACGATGCAAAAATTAGAATCAAATACCCCCAGGGACGGCTACAACAAATTTATGTCATCCAAGACCCAGTTGGACCCATACACATCCCTAAAGACATATTTTAAAACCCCATAGCCTTTCGCTCCTATCTTAAATGGTTTAAAGGTAGATAGCAGAAATTACAACGTCTACTTATATTCAACCACCCCCAGGACCACACCCCATTAAAAAAAAAGAAAGAAAAAAAAGGAATGCCCTTCAACATGCCAAACTTTAATAATAAAATATTAGTATCATGGATATTCAGAAAATGTGATTAGCAGAGGTCTTCAGGCCCATGGAACCACACCTTGAAAATGCCAAAATGTAAACAAGACAGCACTGTTCTAAAAAGTTTTTTTTTTTTATTAATTTTACAATTTTTTAACATAAAACATTCTGAGATTCTGAACATAGTGAATGATTGAATCTGACAAACTGCAATGACATGAGTTTATTTCCATTTTTGAAACTTTATTACACAATACACGATAACAAGCTTACCATCATTTTTACATAATCAACTAACAATGTTGTAAAGATGCAGGAATTGTCAAACAAACACTTTTACGTATCTTATTAGTTAAATAATGAGGCTCTTTACATGCCTAAGAATTGAATCTGAGGAAATGTGAAAAAAAAGCATAACTTCTAAAATAATGGCCCGATTATGCTGATTTTCGAACTCAACCTGCGTTTTAGTAAGATTGACCACTTCTGTGACTCAACGGTTAGCTTACATGAATACCTTTATGAACATAGCAACACAGATCTATGAGGCCTACATGACTGACTATACTGGTGTAACATGAGCACTTTTGTCATATGACAACTACGGAATTAGTCAGACTGTTAACGTGAAACTTCTTCTAAGAAGAGCAATGAGGTTAATGCGTCACCAAATTTCCCTAACTTAAATTACGCGTCATAACGGAAACACACACAGACCGCGATGCACTTCCATTGGATGGCTGTTGTTGAGGGGTAACAGCGGGTATAAAAAGCCCAGTGCAAGGAAAGTCTTCAGTTTCAGGACAAGGAGTGCCGATTAAGCAGAACCGAAACTTTGGAAGATTTCATTTACCATCTTGACAGGATGACTCATTCCAACTTCAAGAACTGACTTTGGGGTTAACTTCAGGCTTTATCATGACTGCACACTTGCTCACACCTCTCGCCTGGCAACTGTTTGTTGAAGAAACATAATGGTCTAAGGATGGAACCACCATCTTTGAGCCCTGATATCAAACTTACTTATCAACTGTGACATGTATTGGAGTGTGCAATGCAAAGGAGAACCAACCCCATAAAAACGTGGACCAACTCCCCCAACTTGTTCAAGAAGAATGGGACAATATCCCACAAAACAGAATTGTAACCCGTGTTGAAGGCTTGTCGCGCCGTCTACAGGAAATAATTGCAGTACGCGGTAGACGCACACGCTGTTAGGCACATGATATTTAATGAGCACACCCTAATGCTAATTGTGTGTGAATTTGGTGACATTTGATGACGTCTTTTTAATTTTATAGTCATTTCTTTACATCTTCATAAGTCACAGTGAAACAGTCGATTTGAGGGGGTACCTCTTATAAATTTTACTAAATGGTATAAAATATGTATATTTTCACCACTATTTTGTATTTTTTAAACCATTTATCATGTTAGGCACGGTATACGTAATAAAAAACACTATTTCTAACAATTAACAGCTGTTAGGTGATCATTTGTAAATAAAAGTACATGGAAATGGGGGTGGGACAACCTTTTTGACCAATGCTGTATATTATGTGGAAATTGCAAGAAGTAACCCCCTTTAGCAAGAGGCGCGTCAAAAGTAGGCCTGTAAGAAGCCTGTGCACGCCTTGAAAGTCTTAACTGCAGTAGAAAAATAGAAGAATTGTGTATCATTTATAAAGCTTATCTTTCATTATCTACACTAAATAAGAAATGAGTAAGGCACAGTTTCAATTTAATATAGAAAATGAAAAGTTTAGTCTTAAAATATAATCAACAGACTACAAAAATGAACTTCCATCAGAAAATTAAGTATAAGGTTTTCTTACCTCGTCGCCCACCGAATTAAACGCTTGCCGTTCTGCTGCCGCCTTTATACAGTAGGCCTACATAGCACAACGAAATCTTAATTTAATTCTAATGAGTAACTAATTTACCTTTCTAAAGATTAAAAAATTATAAAAAAAGTAAAATAAAATCCCTTTTATTTAAATATAAATTCCATTGTAAATAAACATACTGTCTAAAGAACATGGAAACCAAATAACAACAACAGTTTAATAGATCAGTTTTCATTTTTGTTATATGTTGTGAAATCTAACAGTGACCTTAGTTTTTTTTTTCTTTTTTGCACCTGGCGGTACACATGGTTTTAGTCCCGACCTGTCTCATCTGCCGGCCTCCTCCGCCATGTCACCGTACCGCCTCTCCCCAGGACTAGACTACGAGAGCCTGTGTTCCCAACTCTTGGATTTAGGTCACATATAATCTGAACTCGTTCCATGTAACTTTTTGGCTTTGTCGGTGCACGGGTCTAGGCGCTCGTCGCAATGCACCCTTGTCCAAAATTAGCAAAATTAAATAAATCTCCCAAACCGAAGGAATTATGGGAAAAATTTATAAAGATGGCTGGCCGAAAGTCATATCTGGAGATTTCAAATATATTCGCTTGGATTTGACCTTTATTTCAAGGTCAAACGGGGTAGAATTTTCTATGGGCAAGGAGAAGCAGCCGTGAGCTGACAAAACTAAAAACTCTCTCTAATTCTGGAG